TATATCGTTCGACTCAATTCTTTCCAACGGTGCAACTGATACTGTCTTCTCCTTTATTTTTGCACATGGACGGACAACTATCACGATCGTGTATTTTTGGTTTCTCGAACAGTACAAGTCGATATGATGAACCCTGGTCATACTATCTTTGATCATATCGCTTTGTAAACTAACAAAGAAGAAACAAAATAACAACTTTGTTTGTAAATTATCTCTTTGATCATTACCTCCCAAGTTGAAGATAAACTTTCAAATGTGATCCAGGTACAATGTGACATTACAACATGAAAAAGACATACTGATATGTTAGAGCACCTCTACACCACAACAAAAGAAAATAATACCAAGTTCCTCACTTAAGAAACAAAGTGAGTGTAGTCCAGACAAAGACATGCTCATAAGCAAGAAAAGCAAGTACAGTTGTTTCTTTGTTTATGATCTCCAACAACATGGGTTTCTAAAACTTTCCAACACCATGAATGGATCATAAAAGTTAGCAGAGCAGCCTGAACAACCTAGACACAAGATTATACAGTACAAGTCGTCATACTTTTTCGTCATCAATCACAAAGCACCATGCCAGCAAAACTCCTGGCCTTCAATCGGTCATGTCTACCAAGTCGATAAGCCTCTTACATACTACCTAAGCCAATCGAGCCTAGTATAAGGTTAGCAGTACTTCTGTGCTGAAAATTTTTCCAAAATTAGAGATTAGTATGATGAAGATCAGCTTGCGGCCACGGCATCTCTTCGGGGACTGTTGTTCAGGAGTTGGTGAAGCTTCCCACTCGACTGATCGCTACTGTCACCATCTTGCTGGGTCATTCTACTGATCGAGCTTTGGTTTTCTATCATTGATAAGAAGTTCTCAGCAACCGCAGGCCGGATTCTAACACCCATTGTGTTGCCAACATGGTCCGACTGCACATTATTCAGTTCCTCCTGTACAACAAAGAAAGGCAACATCATTGTTATTCTTGCCATGCCAGTCACAAATTAATTTTACATATATTATAATTAAAAAAATGTGTTCTCCACAGTTGTTGGGTCAGGCATTGATGGGCTTCATATGTATATATCCCGATATCAGACTTGCTATCAAGCCTGAACCTGAAACTGTCAAACTCAGCTCCAAATCAGGGTCGTACTAAAGATTTGGTTAAGGTCATAGACAGGATACCACCTAGTTTTTCGTTGTTGGCTACATAGAGTAACCTAAAAAGATTAACTACATCATGCTAGTCATCTTTGTTGTGACACCTGATGGTAGGTAACTGCCCATTATATAAAGAACAGCTAACAGTAAGCCTAGAGCAATCAAATTTAGAATTCTTAGCAGATGAGACAGTACCATTAGAGCAGAATTTTCCAATCTCAGTTTATCCGAATTCTTCATTAGGCAATTAATTTCAGATCTGAGACTCGTATTTTCAGCACTGAGAGTCTCAACTTTCGCAGAAAGTTCCTCAGTTTCAGCCTGGAATGCAGATATTGGAACTTATAATGAGGTTAAGAAAAGAAAACAGAATCAAGAAGACAGATAAAGGCAGCATCCTCAACTCTGGATAATGCCAGTACCTGTTTCCTTAACCTTGATCTTCTAGCAGATTCTCTGTTGGATTGTTTCCTCCTTTCCTTTTTTAGTTCTCTTTCATCCTGTAAAAAAAAGGCACATCTAAAAGTTAATAAACCAAAATGCCATGTAATAAAACCACATCCACTTTGGTATGTCTATCAATGAATCGGTGACTATCCCATGCCATTCGTAAGTCCATAACCAACATAAGATTATATTGGCAATTCATACATACTAATATATGCCACAAGGAGTCATGATGAAAATGCTATTACTGTGAGTAAACCACTAACATTAAAAACAATAAGATTATTGTCTTCAAGAGATATTGAAATTACAGCAGCTAATTAAATGTTAAATGAGAAACATGATGAAAAAGCAGGAAAGTACCATGGTTAAAAGACTTAAAAGGAAAAAAAAGGAATTCTAATATCAATACAGAAAAATAAAACCTAATAACTTGTAAGACTTGCAGGGTGAACATGCCTGCATTCGAAGTTCAGGAGTTACACCGTTGTGACTGGGAAAAACAGCACCAGTTGCCACAGGGACAGGTAGGCCGATAGCTTTCATTTTGCTGGCATTGGAAACTCTAATATCCATCCCTGCTGCTGGGACAGATGAAGGAATGTTTCCTACTGGTTTTGCTGTGATAGCTGCTGCTCCGGTAACACCTGCAGCTGGTTTTGAGGATGTAGCTGTTTCCTCAGTGTGACCAGGATTAACCTGTTCGCTATTTGTGGCATTGTCTGTAATGAACCAAGAAAGTTCCTTTTAGACATGATCTATGTGTATTTTCAAGAGAAATTGGGATAATATCTTTCAAGTCAAACATTCAATTGATCAAAGAAAACAAAAGTAGTTTTATGGTGACCAATCATCAATAGCTAACTCATGAAAAGCATGTGTTGTTTCCAATATTTTATTTGAAAGGGATTAATCAGAACGAGATACGAGTGTTAGTGTCTGAAGCAAACTCATTTAATTTTAATGGATCATGTTTTTAGCATTCCAAGTGTGGACGTACCTGAGGATGGTACATCTTCAGATCTTCGCTTTCTTTGGTCTTTAATTCCCTAAAAAGGTAAACCACCAATTTAAACTAGCAGAAGAATATCCAAGAACATATCCCTAAACTATTTGAAGAAGAGAAATAGGAAGAGCTAAGAATATTACCCCTTCTGCATTATCTCCATCACTTCCATAACTTGAGCCTTCTGTGCTATTATACTCACTGGACAAGTAGCATATGATAGAAAGCATTCATCAAGATCAAAATGCCATCCCGAAGGGCATATCAACAACTTCAAGAAACAACAACAAAAATCTGCAAATAATTTTAGAACTGGGTGAGCATCTGTAACAACCTGTTCCCATCAGCCTGATCTCTGTTCTCAGTGCTGCCATTGCCCCCAGACAATGCAAGGCCATCAAGCCCTTTTAGCTTTTTCACCAGACGTCTATCTTTATTCCTTGGTGACTTGGCAGGCATTTCTACACTCAATGGAGTTGCCATCTGCAACAGAAGTGGTAGTAAGATCAAAAAGTGGCCTCAAAGAGTATCTGATAAGTGAATCAGAACAACGAGAGTATGCAAAGAATCGAGGTTTTTGTTGGCGTTGATGTAACTCAGATATAAAGAATACATTAAATCAGATTCATCGGGTCAATGTAACCCACCACTACTGCTTCACTTGCTGCAGGAGATGGAGATGGTGCAATCCCTTGACAATGTGTATGAGAACTCTGCATATAGTAAATCAATAAGCTCATTTAACATACTTCAAGAACAGCATACTCAGATCCTGCATCTTTTGTGACTTATATGATATACATCCTGAACTAAAAATAATTTAAGGCAAAATTTTATGAATCAGTAGAATTCATTCACTAAAACCGAGTTTGTCAATATACTTTGAACACATACGACAGTATCTTTTGACTTACAAGGGGTACTGAGGCATGAGAATAAACTCCTCCAAGCGGATAGATTGCAGTGTATGGTGACCCAAAAGGAGGAATCAGAGGCTGCAGCAAATGAAGAATATATCAATTCCACATTACCAAAGCTTGGTCTGGTGCAATACACAAAGGTTCCACACAAAACAGGATCCATGGAGGGTCAGCATTTTTCCTGAACATAGAGAGGTTATTTGCATGATCAAACCCTTGACACTTGGTTACAGTATACCCATAATGTACTTCCTATACTTATATGGTTATACCGACTGCATGGCATAATTTATGTGGTTTACATTTACCAGAGCTGAAATGATTCTGGCCTATTGCAGTTATATGTGTTGGACTAATTGACCCTTCATTACTAGATTTTTAATTTGTGGAAATTAACTTTTCTCTACGTGATACCGACGTACTTGTCGATGAGCCAATCATAAACGTCAAATTTTTTTAAGGTGTTTGTTCGCTTAGATCCTCATGTAACATGTTGCAGCAAAGGCTTCGAATGGCATTACAAAACTATCTTGTAATACTGATACATTTACACGAACATCTTCAAGTATGTCTAGATCTGTCTCCATCTTACAGTAACACCACCTTATATCAAATGACATCCTCCTCCAGAGACCTAAATGGTTCCCCCAACTAACCACTGCTATTTGCATCAGCCAAACAATACCAGGACTATGTTCCCTGTGTGGAGTGTTAGCTTTTATAGTGCAAGGTGAATCGCGAATCCTGACCATTATTACTTGTAGACATCATAGATCATCCTATAGCCAGATATTGTCACCTTTAATCAGTATTTCATTCCTCCTAGTACCATTCCTCATCAAGAATTCACTTTGTGATGCATTGCTCATCTCTCTCACACTTGAGCTGAAAGGGAACGACCTATGACCTAATCAAGTTCAACACTTGATTTACTTAGCCTGCCTCAGATCAATGCTGGTTGGCATGCCTAGTAATCTGCAAAACTCCAAAGGTGCCCTCAGTTTCTCTGTTTGTTTTTATCTTCTTTATGTTACTTAGATGTGTAAATTGTAAAAAGTGCATACTCCTTCCAAACAATTTTGGTGAATGAAACTTGTAAGTAGCTCATGTTCCAAGATTTCGTACAATCATATGCAAACTTTCACTGTAATCAAGTGAAAAATCAAGTCACAATCCATTGTCCACTTTAGGACCTTGCCAAGGCCCATATATACACTACAGTCCATTCCAAGCACAGTGTCTGGGATGATGGTTCCACATTCTACTTGACCACCCTACACCCTGTCTATTGGGCCACTAATCCATAACTAAGACCCCAGATTAGCTCTAATATTTTTTTATTTTCATAACTCGAGTTTAAAACTGTATGCACTTTGTCCCATAAAAAAGTATTCAGAAGTTGTTCATTACAGATAGGCAATGAATCACAAAACTTAGTAGGTAGTCCACATACAATGTAAAACAATTCAATCAAATGATCAAAAACTTTGTTCATGATTAGCCTCAGTTGCAATGTATATGGTCTCATTTTATGCATGTTCCCCTCTAGATCAGAAGATGTGAAGGAATCTTTATGTAGAATATAAGGTGGGAAGATGCATGACCCCATCCCATTTTTCTCCCCCAGATTATATATATCAAATCTTCTCATTACATTAAAAAATGGCCTAAATGATTAGTGAAGTAACAAAATTTTTGAATTCAAGTAACCATTTCCTCGTCTACAAATGGTTCGAGTAAGTTGCCATAAAACTGGTGATCCCAAGATCTCCAAAAGGAAATTAGCAAAAACCAACTATTGATAGGGTAGAGCACCTAAAGTCTTGTTGGTACATCTGGAGGATAAAATATTCTTCTGACTATCAAATTGAAGGACTTAAAGAAAAGCCATACAATGTATTTCTTGAAATGACAAAAAAAAAAAAGGAGGAAACAGGGATGCCAAGTGTAATAGCAAGCAACTGAAATAATGATATTATCCTAGTAGAAGATGTGATAGATTTCATTGCACCAGATCTTTCCTTGGCTAATTGGCCACAATGATAGAAATAACAAAAAGTTTGAATACCTGTGGGCCCCACATGTATGGATGAGGTACATGGCCAGACAAATATGTAGGTGGTATCATTCCATGACCATAATACGCCTAAACAAATCAAAAATTGTTATAAGTTTTATGGTAGGACATGAAAGAAAACAAACATAAGAATCTAGTTGTACTAACCTGCATGGTTGCCCAGTCAGCATATGGAGGATTTGCAGGTGTCTCCCGTGACTTCAACAAAATAACACTAATAAATAAGAAGCCACAGAAAAACAAAAAAAAAAAACAAAGAAACCATAGTTGTTTTCATGTTTATTGCAACAGCCATGGAAAAATCATTTTCCTTAAGGGTAGGCTGCAACTGAATCATCAAATTGCAATGAAGCTAAGACGACACCCTATGTTCTATATCCTTTCTGGTGTAAACTCATGAAGATTTTCAGTGTATATCTAAGGAATCACCATAATGATGCTTGTATTAACTTAAAGTAAGACAGGTGTGCAACTTAATATTTTATTTTGAATACAATGGACATTTTTGTTGCAGTAATGCTTAAAAGCAGCAAACTGCACGTCAAGAAGATATGCAGGATAGGATGCATATGAAAATCAAAACATGTTCAGTCTGTGACTCTCAGAACTGATAAGTACTATAGCCACCATGCTCAAACAACATACAAAGAGTGTAAATTCAATTATTTTGACATTTGTGCCCACCTGCACAGGAGAAGATGCTTTGTTAGACTTTGGGGGAGTTGCAGCTTCATTACTTGCCATGATAATCAGTCACACACCTAAACAAAGTGTGTCAGAAGAATCATTCTTTGAAGAAAATTGATGTCTTATTTAATCATCTCACTTATTAATAACTCTTTAAACCAGAAACTTGTAAATTTCAACATGGGAATTACACAACTGACATGTTCAATAGCAAATATTGTAGCACCTGACGTGCCTGCTTATGATGGCAATTAAATTTCCAACCACATATATTTAACAGATATACAAAAATTAACATGAGTCCTCATAGGATTTAACTCAACCAAGAATAGCTAGTTAATTTTACACACACACACACACACACACACACACATATATATATATATATATATATATATATATATGACGATTTGGGAATGGTCATCTTCCTCCTAATACATGGCACAAGGTTGGAATTTGAATCACACCTAAAGACATTGTCACCTTTCTCAAATATCAACAGAGTCATAATGGAAACCCCTGATATCATTGTATAATGAGTGGGAGCATTAAAAACTATAATTCAGAAGAATGGTTCATAATCAAGAGGGAAATATTCATGTTGGTAAGTATAAAGTTTGTGGTTGCCTTCAAATTTTCAGAAAGTAGAGTTCATATCAAATAAATAAAAGCTTGACCCAGTGAGAATAACAGAACTACTACCGTACTTTACATGGGTACCAGGAAACTGTTATGAGTATGATACGAGTTCAAAGCAGCCCAAACCAACAATTTACTTTGCATATATAACCCAATTTGAGAGTAAAATGACAACAGCAAAGGCAACAATGAAAGTGCCAAACAATAACTGCCATCAATAAACATGAATAGAGCAAACAAAATTTGTATCAAAGGCTTTCGAGGATGAGGAACCATCGTGGCTGCTAAAACCAAGTTGTCTTTTTCAAAACTGAAAAAAACACTTTCAACATTCTTATTCATGTTGTAAACCATTATCCTTTAAACAAACTTCCACTGATCGAAGAAACTTATCATATCTTGATTCTTCCCACCTCTAGTCAGTACAACAATACTCCCCAGCATATATATGCACTATCAAATATCAAAAGCTGCAGTTGATTTCTCATGAGGCATGCAGCATATATAGCCAAAATATCATGCCCATTAAAACAGGAAGCTTTAGATGTTCTGATGACCAGTTGCATCAGGGACTGCCCCAGCTACTAGCTATTAGATTCATCCAGAAAAATTATTACAGACTTTATAAGTAAAAGAAATATAACACCTTATAAACTAACCAATTTCCTCAACAAACAGTTTTTTCCAATTGTTTTCATCGAACTTCTTGTCACATCAATTTCCAAACACAAGCGTTAATAATCCGTTTTCTCTCCATAAAAAGAACGAGGATAAAGGGAAAGAAAAAAAACACTTCTAAGCAATTAATTTGATGATGGACCAAAGTAAACTATGATCTATCACCAGATGTTTCATGGGCGCTAGGTTTAGAAAATAATCGAAGGTCAAGAGCGTCTTTTCGTCGGAAAGAAGTATGGACCGACCTGTAAAGTGGGAAGGGTCCGAATCTTGGACGGTCGCTGATCACTTCCGATACCAAAAAGACAGATGTAACCCAACGAAAGAAGAGAAAAAACGAGCTTTTGATTAATGGGGGCACATAGAGAGGAAAAAGGAAAATAGCACCCTATCGATCTGCAACTCGGAGCGAGTCTCTTGACCCTGCTCTGTCGCTGGAACGAGGATCGTACGTCATACTGTCCTCCAACTGAAGAACCCGTGATTCCCGTAATGTCCGCTCTCTTCTTCCCCATCTAACCACATCTTTTTCTCGCCGCTCTTAGATTTCCTCGCTTTCTAGCCTCCCTCTCGAAGAAAGAAAGAGTATCCTCATATTTTCCATCGAAATATAATCTTTCTACCAGATCGCGAGAAGATATAAAATCAGACGTCCCTCCGGCAAACAGAAGGTGGAATCCAACGTTTTCCTGTAATATCTCATAAAAATACGATAGGAAATGATAAATTCCGCTCACAAAACGATAAAAAAGGCAACCAATTGCAAGCGACGACGCGACGACGCCGTAGCAAGCGACGACGTTCAAGGCATTCCATAGAAAAATTGGATGAAATAAGCCATCGATCGCGCGTACCTCGAATTTTCGGCCACCGGAGGCTTTCCCAAAACCCTGAAGCCAACAAGTCGCCGCGTTTTCGCCTCCGGAAGCCAAAAAGAAAAGAGAAAAAGAGGAGCTAAAAAAAAAGGTCGGTGAGCTCCATGAAAGTCAGCGGCAGGTAAAAGGGTCTCAAAAGCGGAAAACGCCCTCTCGAGGAGTAAAAAAGCAACCGAACCTTAATGCCGTTCGTGCTCCATTAGGCCGTAAAGGAAGAGCAAAAGAGCTTCCTCTGTGGAGAATACTGGAGAGCCGAGCAAGGGAGGAGACGAGACAGAGGTGGAAGGCCGCGAAGGCAAAGGGGAAAGGAACCCGGCGCCAAGCCATTTGCCACCTCACGATACACGTGTCGAATCGGGATGCACGATATGGTCGAGCGCGATCCGCAGTCCTACACGGACGGGCACAGCCGATGCCATCAGGAAAACCACCCGCACACGGCGTTTGGTGGGTCCCTGACACGGCTCCGATTCCCCGGCCGTGGGTTTTGGCGTCCGCGTTGGAATCGCACGGCTTACGCGGAGGCAATGGTGGTCGTTGAGTTGGCCGTCGGTGCCGGTGGGCCCCGCGAGCACATACGAGCCCCGACGGGACGCCCTCGAAACCCAACCCCGGACTCACCCACCCACGTCCTCCTCCGCGGACCCCACAAAGTCGCCGGTGAGTGGGGCTACTTTTTGTGGCGCCACGTTTCCTGGTGCGTGCATCGAGGCCACAAACCCGTATCTTATTCTACGTTGGACCACAGCCACCGGACACGCGTCGATATCATGAGCAGTCTACGCGACGTCCGAGAGCCAGGTTTCCTCGCGGTCACGATGCCGCTGATATGGCGGCCCGGTCCGCTTCGTTGATTCAGACCAAAGCCACATGACGCGTCGTCGGGCACCCACGTCATCGCCCTTGGCAGTTGAGGTCCGTCGCGGGGCGACTTGCGGGTGGGTTTGGTTGGTATGGGGGAATGAATTGGGTTGGAGACGGGCCTCGCGCCCGGAATAAAGAAAAAGCTACAATGTAGATATGATTATTTAAATGCCCCTCATTTATTTCGGTAATCACAAGAAATCTAAGCCGTCGTGGGGAAGTGGGCCACGATGACCTGTTCACGAACCGGGTTAGGTGGCGTACCGGCGAACAACGTGATCCGTGTGGGACCCGATGGTGAGGTCAGCCGCTGCCTCTCGGGTGACTCACGCGGGTAACCGAATCGAGAGCTCCTTTTCCCTCCTGAATCCGGAGAAAAGCGCGGGACCCACGGCTCGATGCCGCGCAGCCACCGAAGACCTAGATCAACGGTCGCGACGGCTAACGGAGCCCTGCGAGCAACGGCCGCGATGCCGAACACGCGGCCGGCGCTCTGACGGGGAGCCACGTCGGGCCCACCACCACGACGAGGACAAGCTCCCGTCGTCCTTTACCAGCACAGTGAAGGACGTGGATCACCGCCCCGTTCACGTGGGGGCAGCGACATGGCGGACTCCCGTTGGCCCGCCTCGTCGCCATGGATCTCGAAGCGTGGTGCGCCGTGACGTCACCATCTCGTAGGCCCCGGTAGGTGACCGAAACGCCAGCCGTCGGATGAGGCGGGACGGAGCAATCCGACGGATGGTTGTGACCAGACGTGCCGGTGGGCCCCGCGACGGTCCATGAGCCGACTCCCGTCCCTCGTCCACGAATTATTATGTTGCCGGAAGAGATCTGGGCGTAGGCCGGGCTGTTTGGCGACCGACGGCGACGAGGGAAATGTTCGTGATGAGAGCGGTAGGTCCCCGTGGCCGGTGGGGTCTCGCTGAGGAGTGTTTAGCGGACGTTGGGTCACGGAGATGTTTCCTGTCGGGGGACAGGCAGAGGAGCGGCGGGGACACGGGCAGGAGCCCGACAAGGTGACGTGGTCGCCGGGGAAGGGCATGTGAAGTGTGGGCGGTGGAGTGGGGCCCGCAGATACGTGAACGTCAAGCGAAAGGCGGCAGATGGAGCGAAGCTGTCAAAGTGGCACGAAAAGTAATACGACGAGAGGAGCCGCACAATGAGTAAAAGGAGCAGATTTTTACGTATAAATATAATAATTATTGTTGGCAACAAAATTGATTTTTTTTTTCTTTTAGATTCTTTGAGATATGAGATTAAATGAATAAAATACGTAACCTTCCAAGAAATCATGAAATCATTCACGAATTGGGTACATCAATTTAACTAATGATGCAGAATTTGTAGTATATTTTGAATAGGAACATCCTCTTCTCGAACTGTAGCTTTCTCACTGTTCGCTGACATCGCCAACCCAACTGCCCCAGCGAGACGAAGCTATCGTCGGTACACGCGCACCACATTTACATGGATTCACCAAACTCCTTATGGCAAAATGGATTCTTCCTGCGTTGACTGGTTGATAGTGTGGACAACCAAAGTGTGCTATCAAAGCACAAAGCCATCGCCAAGGTGGAGCTCATAATCTTATCGATCTAACCTATGCTACTGGAAGATGTTAGTCATCATTCTTTTGTTGTTTATTGCATGTCTACTTCACGCTACAACTGCTCCAAATCAAGATAACATGAGTCATCAAAGTAGGGAACGCCCACTCACACAACAAAGAATGTCGAAAGATCCTCTTATGATTCTTTTTCCATCCTACTAACTTTCTCCTTTCATGAGGAGACTCTTGAAAATTAACTTTCCTCTGATGAATGATTCTTTTCTTTTTCTTCTACCTTTTGGGTTTACACAACTTGATGATAGAATATCTTATTACCTCATGTGTCGTTAAGGTTATACAGGTAAGAAATAAATAAACTTGGATCGATAATATATATTTAGGGGGCGATCCATGTATTATATACATTATGTATGTATAAGGCTTACATGGATAGATCAATATTTGATTGTTAGTTGAAATATAATTAAAATTGATGATCACTAAAAACTCATTTATAGAGGATACAAAGGTAGTGTAAAAGCCTATTGATATTCGAGTTCTAAGGTTGATCTAATCTTATCGGTCATCATTAAAAAAATATTCATTTATAGTGATAAGGCTAAGAATTATTTTGGATAAATTATTTAAAGAATAATCAATGTTATTCATTTCACAACTAATTTAAATTGAGACTCTAACAATCTTTATGAATCTTTAGGTAAATATTTCGTAGTTATTTTTATTTTTGTATTTACGGCTCCTTATGATAGAGAATAATCTAATAGTCAATCTCATCCTATCAGTTGGGCATCATAGAGGCTTCAACGTGGAAGACGAAGGCCAAGTCACCCCCCATGAGATAATGACATGGAAGCCATTTGAGTTGGCCTTGTCGGCCTCCGTGGATAACAGTTTACGGACAGTCATTTGAGCTTATCTCCCCTCGGTTGATTTCTATGGACAATAATTCATAAAAGATCGTTTAGGTTTATTGCCTCCATGAACAAACCACCAAAGAAAAGGTGTTACGATCATTTCATGGTTGCTGTCCTCGGGGACAAAACGCTAATGAAAAAATATTACGATCAGATATGTATAAAAGTCGACCCTGACGTCAACCCAAGGGTCGAATCTATTGACAGCTAACCCCTTATACCATATTTCATCACAAAACTAACTTGAGTATTGGAGAGATTGGATTGAGAAACGTCATTCGATATTGACCTTTGTGTAGAAACCCATCGAGTAGCCGAACCCCACTTCAATTTAGTCTCAAGAACACCTCAGATACACAAATTCCAATCGAAAATCTTCTCGGATCCATCACAACCACATTGGTCCCTCATCAATCAACTCTTAAAATAGTCGTTTCTTAAACACCCTTACACCTTCGGGTCTAGATCGAATTGGGCTAACTTACAGTTGACAATGTATTTTCTAAAATACCCTCTATAACCTATATCATATAATCACGATTTATATTAGTTGAATTCAGTCAAAAATTATATATAATGACCCATGTCTATTGTATTATATTAAATTTAAAAGATATAATAATACAAATTAAAATTTTAATTGATAGGACACTTATAGTAGCTAAAGAAGATTAATTATAATGATTTATATCCGCGTGACTTTTTATATTTTGTTTGTATATATACGTAAATTTAAACTTAGGAGAATAAATACAAAAATATAAATATACGATCCGCTAAGAAGGAACACAAACACGGCCGTATGCGAGTACGACTGAGACGGAGTGAGTTCGGATCCTCTTTGATTCGTGCGGATCGAAGTACGCCTCCAATTCGCCTTCTCAACCCTTCGAATCTCCCATCCTAGCCGTAGGGGTCCCAGCGCAACAACCCGATCGTGTGATTGTCCGTCTGCTCCGGTCTCATCGAACGGGCGACAGTTATCGGGTAATCGGACCCGTAAGAATCGAAGCGAACCCTACTTGATGCGGGTCCGAAACGGCGAGACCCCCGAACGACCCTACTTGAGGTACGACTTTGCTGCCGACAGAAGCGACGGACCCCTCGATGTTCACCACGTCAGTATGTCAGGACCGAAGTTGTAACATCAGTCGTGTGTTGATGCAGGCCCCCGGTAATCGGAGAGTTCGGGTGATGTGTTCCAACCCCGCAGCGGCCGCCGCCGTTTGAAGAGGTGCCCACGGACACCCACGACTCCCTCCTCCTCTTCCTCCGTGAGTTGCTTGTGCTCTTTCAGATCTCTGCCTCGTCGTCTCTTCCGATCCACTGGGTACTCCACTATCCTTTCAATCGTCGATTTCTTCGCCGTTTTCTCTTTCTTTTCTGTTCTAACCTTCGTTGTCATTTCGGTCACGAAAGAAAAAAGGTCTCTGTTTTATTTCTCTTGAAACTTGTAATCCTTTTAAATGAGATAAAAGCGAAATACAATAAGAAGAAAAGGTTAAGGAAAAGGCATGGGAGAAACCAAGGTTTGGCAACGAAGGGAAAGGTGTGGGTGTGGGGAGGGTTTGCATTGTAGCTGTGCGACGAGGTTCCAGTTATCAAATAGATAGATTTGGTTTGTGCGCATCGACTACTTGTGAACATGCTGGTGTGAAACTAGGGCACCATTAGAATAACCACGGTAAATGAATGGATTCACCTTCTTAACAGCTGCATTATGATGTACCTGCTTTGCAACGTAGCTGTGCGAGGAGGTTCCAGTTATCAAATAGATAGATTTGGTTTGTGCACATTGACTACTTGTGAACATGCTGGTGTGAAACTAGGGCACCATTAGAATAACCACGGTAAATGAATGGATTCACCTTCTTAACAGCTGCATTATGATATTCCTGCTTGGGTTTCCCACAAAAATTTTCCAATATTGTCTCTGGATCCTTGATGCATTAATTGGGTCGTTATAAGTATGTCATTTTGATAAGTGATTTATCTCATGTTGAATATCTAGTAGTTAGATGAGTAGGCTGCCGGAAATCTTTCTAAATCAACTCCGGTGTGCACTCATGGTAAATTAGTAGTTGATGTGGATAATAACTTGCAGCTATTGATTAATCGGAGTACATGCAGTATTTTGGTCATTTGATTATCTCACTTGTAGGCTTAGGAGTGTATTCTTTTAGTTGTTGTTTAACAGGGAGACTTGTCCAGATGGAGTTAATTGTTATAGCAATGATCCTGCTTTTGTTAGTGGGAGCTCTTTTTGTCATCCCGAGATCAAACAGGAAAGGTAACTTTGTAATATCCTTTTTTTTATAGTCGTCTAAATTATGCAATGCTGGAACTTATGGACTTACTTTGTGTAGGTAAAGCTCGAGGAACACATCCAAGTGTGACGACAAAGGTAATGATCAGTTTGCTTGACATGATATTCTAATTTCCCTAAGTGTCCTTCTAAGTATTTAAAGAACAACTTTCTTAACTATAAACCTAATCATATCTTTTACCGATTACATCAATTTTCTAATTCTTAATTTCTTATAATTATGAATGAATCACATTGTCTCGAGGTATTACTTTTGTCAACTCTATATAGGGGATGCTTTGGAAATCTTTTGTTTTTGCTAATTTATTGCATGTTTAGTAACTCATGATTCAATAAATTCGTAATCCATGATCTACCTATTCCATTTAAAGGTGAATAAAAGGATGCCCATAAATATGTAGTAGTCTATAAATTTCATATGAGAGAAAATTTGGATGCTTCATAGACTACCTTATATTTGTCAGAATTTCTTTTTCAACTTCAAGCGGAATACGTAAGTCATGGATTAACAATTGCCAAATTTAAGCGGAATATGTAAGTCATGGATTAACAATTACACATTAATTATGGGACTTTGTCCTATAGTCATGTCGTCATAGCATGGACATTTCTTTCTCCTGGACTCTTCCCAAGTATTAGGGAACTTCAGAGACTGCTCTGTGGTTTATCATATCTTCTAATTTGCTTTTAGGTATTTACTCAAGTCCTTGTTTACCCAATTTTGCCGTAAGCTGTTGAACACCACAGTTTAAGGGGTTGAGGACAGGTTGCAGTTCGTGAAATATTTGTCATATTCTTGATTGTGTTTTGCTTTGTAGGTGGCTTTCAATGAACATAGAGACTTGTAGTTAATATTTGAAACTTGTAATTGACATCAATATGTTGGTACAATGGAACACATTTTATTTCTATACGTCTTTTCTTCTTCCCCTAAATGAACTCAATTAATCAATCTTATAAAAGAGTATCATATTAGTTGACAGGTAGCCTTCATGTGGCAATTATGTTAGTACTTTTTTCAGTTAAAAATTATAGGAGCAAATGATAATGATCCTTTCAGGTCGTCATATGTGAGCTGATTTCTTATTACTGCCCTTATCAACAAGCTTACCTTCAGAAAATCTGTAAAACCCACCCCTTAACTACACTTCTCTATTTCCAAAAAATACAGCAAGCTTTCTCTATTTCATAAGCTGTACTGATTCTCCACTTTTTGAATGAAAACTAGAATTCAAATATTTTCTTAGTTGCTAATAAGTTTTTCCTGCAACTAACTATTATTTTCTTCGTGTTCTTTTACTTAGACGATAAGAACTTACACGAAGGAGGAGGTTTCTCTTCATAATACAAGGACAGATTGTTGGATCATAGTCAAAGACAAGGTTGTACGATGGAACCTGCGTCGTTAATTTTTCTTGGTTTTTCCCAACATATCATGAAAATTTTATTAAATTCTACATGTAGGTATATAATGTCACACCTTATGTTGAAGAACATCCTGGAGGAGATGCTATACTAAACAATGCTGGAGGTGATTCAACCAAGGGGTTTTATGGGTTTGTACCTATTATGCAACCTATGATAATATCATTAAAAAAAAAAGTTGATTATTCTTTTGAAAATGACCTTTTCAGATTAGTTAAGAGTCTTTCTCTGCTGCAGTATTATCTTTTCAATCATATCTGACAGTTTATGTAATCTGCTTGGCACTGAAACTGTCGATTTAAAGCAGGTCTTTTGTCATTTCATGCATCATTCACAATTCCGGAACTCTTTTCTTCATCATCTCAAAATTCATAGCTGCTTGTCTTTTCAAACATTTTAACAGATGATTCCTAATGCCGGCTTGACTTTTGCTTTACAATTTTTTTGTGTGACATGCTTCTGTTGGAATATACCAAACACAACACGGCAACAAGCTGTCATGCCCCCATCTAGTTGGGGTTGGTTTCATGGATATTGTCCTGCCATTGAGCTCTTGGAATACATTAATAACACCGAAAAAAAAGAGAATATTTGTCTTGATTGATTGCCGGCATGTTTCTTATTGGAGTTCTGGTTATGAATAGTCTTGTCTATGATCCTCGGATCCCATATTAGTAAAAGAGTAGCACAATATCTCTCTATTTATGTATGTCTCTGAGATATGCAGATTCTTCTTACATGATTTTGCCAAAGGTAGTTATTAAATTTCTCAAAGTTACTTAATTTTGGACTTATTGCATCTGATAAATTCTAGTTCTGTTGTTAGTTTTCTTAACGTTTTTACATTATCTCCAAAGAAACGATGTCGGGGAGTGACGCTGGCTAATCAGTGTGGTGTAAACTAATATTTCCTGCCTGAGATTCAGGAGTAACTGAACGATGTGTTCACATGGCATCAATTTATGAATGTTTTATCACGTGTATCTTTCTCCCTTTGCCTTTCATATATGCAATTGTTATTACTACTCTACTAGATTGATAATGCATTGTTGGTCTGTAAATACAGGCCACAACATGCCACTCGGGTCTTTGACATGGTTGACGAGTTTTATATTGGAGATTTGAAGAATTGAAAATGAAGCCATTTGGCCTCTACAAATTTGTCTGGAAATCTGGACCATGTCCTACAACTGGTACTTAGGTTGTTTTATTTCCCAGAACTGTGGCAATCTGTTGAAACCCAGTTTTGTGTTTCGAACAATTTAGTGATATTCCAACTTTCCTTGCGATTTACAAAAAGACAGTATCTGCGAAATTCTTGTAGACTTGAATTTGAATATGCAACTTGAGAAAATTGACCATCAGCCAAGCTTCTAAAATTTTCTTTGTTTGGTTAGACAGTTATAGAAATATTCTCTGTAAGTTAACACCATTACAAGATTGAATTCACAAATTACAGTGTTTTATTTGTTCTTCTTTTCCTGTTTGTTGTGACAAAAGTTTGTTGGATAGGTTTCTTTTTCTTGTTGAGAAACCATTGCAATTACATGGCCAAATATAGTCAGGATTAAACAAGGATTAACAGAGGGTTGCTCATGATGCATAGTTGTACAGCCTTAACAGCACCAAAAATTTGAGAATTATTTGACAGATCATGAATGTCTACTTGCACTTCAACAATTTCCTGTCATTATAATTTCACCACTAATGAATCTATCTTGAAAGGGCAGATTAGAACTTGTGTTAGCTGTTTGGGATTGTCAGACAACTTCACACTGACAAGGTCCCAAACTCAAATGATTAGGCATGTAAAATGTGTAAGGCTGAGAAAGTTCCAGCAATGGAGGATGTCCTCTACAGTCTAACATGGACTCATTCATTTGAGGACTCACTTCTCTGTGGTCAATCACATGGTGAGCACCTGACTTGTGGGAGCTCAAAGTCTCCACCTTGAAGAAATACTGATTTCAGCATCCAAAAAAGACCCCATTGAAAACTTTGATACATTATATTATATATATATAATTAAATAGAAAGCATTTTGTCAGCTAACACCAAATGCCATACCATCAGCCATATATATGAACTCATGTGCAGGTGCATGATATTCATCATCTCAAAACACCATGTCGAAATGAAGAAATGGATTTATACTTGCAAAAGTACAATCTAGACACTTAATGTCTAAGGTAGGTGGGATGCTGGGATCAGACAGAAAGTCTCAGCCACCAGCTGACATCCATTGATCAGTAACTTGCAGCTGCCCAGGGCTCCACTCACAGTGCACACAAAAGCAACCATATTGGCATCAGCTGTCACAGTCCTCCCTGCCAAACCTTTGACAGATAATGTTGGCCAAAGAATCAACCTCTTCAGATGCACCTCTTTTGTGGGTACAAGCAATGGGGAGCAGATGAGAAAACTTGCTTCCACCTCTAGCCTCTACAGTGTCCTTTTCATTTGGCTCCTCTCTTCATACTTGAGCTTTCAGAGTGAAACTGACCATCATGCATCATTTACACTTTGGCCAAGACAAGAATCTGCAGGTCATTTCAGAGGAAACTTGAGCTGCATCTAGCACTTACCATGTCTGCTCAAGATGGACATAAATCAGATTCAGACAGGAAACCCATATGAATCTTGGTTGTTGTATCTTTCAGAGGGAATTTGTGCTTCCCTCTTGATTTTGGCATTTCAGCACAGGATGGACATGAGGCAAATTCAGACAAAGTGCATCCATTTGAATCTTGGTGCATAATAAATGTTCAACTTGGTAACTCGCAAGTCCAATATAAACGAACATCTGATACTACTAGTCTACTGTGCAAGTTGTTGGAACCTATCAAAATGATCTGTGCAAGTCATTTGTAGATCTCCAGGAAACTTGTCAACTTTCATTTGATAATGTGCTGCTAAAACTGAAAAATAGATATGCTCATGTACTAGAAGCAGTCTCCAAAAAGTGAAGCTATATTATGTTAAGATGCATGTTAAGATCAGATTCAACAGATGCTAGCACAACAAGTTGAGGCACTTGCAAGTGTAAACCAATGAATCCAGTAAGAATCCAACTGCAAGCAAAGATCACTATGTATGAACCTAAATTAGACAAAAATGTCAAAATATCCTGACTCTTTTTGAACAGTGTTCAACTTTTGGCAAATGTAGTGTAGAAAATTTTCACTTTTTGGACCTTGAGTATAATAATAGCCCCAAAAGTATGCCTAAATCCTAAAACAGCCACAACATCAAATATAATGCAGTTTGTCACAAACAACTAAAAGACCAATAGAAGATATAATAAGCAAGGTTAAGGTGCAAATTCTGCTATTGATGACAAGCAAAGCCAGCACGCATAAAAAGCCAAAAGAAAGAACAAGATGAAGTAGCTAAATACATCAAAGGCAGAAGATCTTTTTTCAGGACTGTCATTTTGAACATTTGTCATTACATATGTCGCTTGTGCCAAAATATGTGATCAAGAAAATGAACAGAAGGGGAGAGAGAGAGAGAGAGAGAGAGCATCATATAGCACTTGATGAATGATTCTTCTATACCGAGAAACCAGCACCTCATATCCCACACAAGCTTCAAAAAACTTCAGGAAATGACATAGACTTCAGCACTCTGTAACTTTGTTGGCTCCATATCAAGAGAACAGAAGACATCAGGAGACGGCTTCAAGCCTAGGTTCAAAGCAGAAACCAGTAAAAAGCTGCAGAGGAAATCTTTTAGTCACAGGACACTTAACAGACCATTTCCACTGTTTCTGGCTCATGTCAAAAACAAGCAGAGCAGTAGCTCCATAGCTCTGTATGTAAATCAGGTCTTCTATGCCGCTGCTTGCAAAGACATCGTCCAACTCACCAAACCCTTGAAAGAACCTGTGAGGCATGCGAGCAACCTCCTGCCACTCTCTTTTATTAAGTTCCCAAATTCCAATCCCTTTGATGATGTCGGGTCTGTCATATTTTGCAATTCCACCAACCATCACTAGCCTTTCTTTGAGGTTGATCAGCCGACCACAGGTGAGAGAACAGGGCACGGGTATTGGCATACACATCAAAGAAGCATGAGATGATCTGGCTGAGAGATCATACATGATCAGGCTATGTCGGAGGTCAGCATTTCCAAGAACGCCAGTAGAATGAATCAAACAGTACAAAACTCCATTGCAGATCACACATTCATCACCTCCCCTCCATCCCGACAAAACCTCTTTGATGGAAGAGACCCATGATTTGCTCTCTGACCTGTATATGTGAATAGAGAAGTCCCACACTGAAAAATCACCAGGCACCTGTTTAGATTTCACCACAACTATAGTATAATGGTGAGAATTTCTGTCAACAGACATGGCAAGGGAACTATAATCAGGGAACTTAGCACCCGGAGGTTCCAGAAGCCTCTTGCAGTCTTTTGTAATTGGGTTGCAAACAAAAATACGGCTCCGGCTATCATTGTCCATGAAGCAAACTAATCCATGGGAAGAAGAAACAAACCAATTACTTTTCTCAATACAAGGGAGATCGATGTTATACCATTTCCGAAGAACTGGGTCATAAGCATAACCTGCTGCTGCCTCATTACAGGTAAACATGAAGTACCATGGCATCTGTGGTAACTTGTTGGCCCGTATAAACCTCTTGGAATGGATGATATGATACCACCTTTTACACACAGATGTAGCCCTAATGGTGCTGGCCATGGGAAGAAATGAGAAGATTCTCTCTAAAATGTCATAAGGAAGAATGCTATCCAAGGAAACAGTAAATTCTTCAACTCCTTCATTACCCTCAGAAACAGGTCTATTCTCAAGAACCTTTCTTCCTAAGTGGATAGCATACAGTGATTCCCATGATGCCTCACTCTCCATGAGAGGAGACACAGCAATAGAACAGAATAAGAACCTGAAAGGATGACAGAAGATAGGCAGAGAAAACAGAGAAACAGGTGATTAGATTAAATTTTTTTTAGATAAGCAATCTATATCGAAGTAGGAAAGACATAATATTTGTTCAAATCATAATCTGTATCTGCGAAAACCATAAAATTATAGAAAGACCACCATAACACACACCCATAAATGAACCCAAATATTCTCGAAGCTAAAAAGAACAAGCTTTTTACAGGGGAATTGATCATATAAACATGACTATAAGAATCATAAGAGAACAAAACAATGGCAAGAAAGACTGAAATTGACACAGAAAAGTTCAGATCAATGCATCAAGATCACATCGAATTTTCCCAGATGGTAAGAAAAACGGCATACATACATCAACAACCATATAAAGCATGAAGATATTGTCAACCTAATTTACAACTGGACCAAGTCACCTCCAAATAGAATCAACATCCAATGTTTTAACATGTTCGAGCAACAAATCAGAAAAGTTTACCCTAAGCAAACATTGATTATTCCAAGAAATTGCTCTGTGTAGAGTAAACTTCAAGAGACAGCAACAACCTACTTTACGAATTAAATCATGCATGATGTTGTCAAGAGAATTGCCGATAAACCTAACAAATAAAATACATGCATAGCTTCCAAAACACCGGCAAGGGAACTTCTATTCTCTAGCGAAAAAAGATGGTAAGTGTAGATCGATGGACAACAAGGCATAATCGAAAACCTAGAGACTGGAAGAGAAAGAATAAACAAGTTTCATGCCATACCTCAATCGAAGACGAAAGCAACACCAAGATTCGAAATTTATGGTTCCTCTCACCAAAATACCCCACCTTTCCCTCGATCCTCCGAATCTAACGAAAGCTCCCAGCCGGTCAAAGTAATGCCGGAGAGATGCCGTTCACACGAACCAAACAGACGCTTTCACCCATGGACGGGAGAGAGAGGGATGGGAAAGGAAGGCCGTATGGGCTTCCGAAGTACATATCTCACAGCTTCGGATTCGGTCGAGGCCAACACCACCATAAAGAAGCCACCTTTGCTTCGGGATCGATATCGGAAGAGGCCGAGGGGTGGAGAAGAGACAGATGCAACAGTGCTCTGGGCTCTCTGAGAGCAAACAAACAAAACGACGGGCAAAGGAATGCCAAACCGGAAGTGGTTTTCTTCAATGACCTTTGGATTTAGCAGCGGATGGGTGATGGGAGAGCGGAGAAGAGAGAGAGAGAGAGAGAGAGAGAGAGAGGTGGAATGGCCTTTTGTGTGCGCACATATATATTGGAAACCTAAGCTTTTTTGGCCTCACTAGAGGAGGATCCAACACACACAATTATGTGGAGTTGGATTTCCTCTTGAGCTCTTTCCCAAACTTTTTTTGACCTCATCATCGTCCTGCCAACTTTCAATCAGTGTTTTCTGGTTGCTGAATTAGCCATAGCTTTAAGAACATCCTCATGGCTTTCCATCTTACCACACAATAATTTGCATATTGAAGTGATGCTGCACTCTGTTTCTCTCAACATTTACTTTTTTATTTGCCGGTGTTTATATATTATGATGGAGGAGGAAACATAAATATAAATTTTATTTTTTTGAGAAGAATTGTTCGCAAACAAACAATTTCAGCGAGATAAAAAAAGTAGATTAGAGCAACCATACTGTTTATGCCATTGAAGATATCCACGTTTCATTCCTGGAAGGATGAAGGTGAAGATTGCCGTCTCCCCACATCGGGTGTTAATGTGGCAACTGTCACTGTTTTCAAGCAAAGAAGCCACGAAACTTTGGACATACCGCCCCAGCAAGGCTTCCGAAGGTCACACCGAGAACTCTCTGCTTCAGCTCACAGTAGCCACCTTGCTCTTTTGGTGTGTATGGGACAGAGTGGCCCTTGTCTCTTGGATCTTGCACCGGCGTGAGTTGGTTCCACTAATGCTAATAATGCCATGTAGTGGCCCCTGCAATACCTCACCAAGTGCCACAAATGCCGTGCCAACTCTGGCGTCGTACTCGTGCCAGGTGCTTCACCAACCCCTGCTCCTTGGCATGTGATTCTTTCACGACTTGCGTCGAACAGGTTGTGTCCATCATGCTCCGGCAACGGTGAAGGCAGCGCCACTCCGCATTAAGTTCCTTTTATCATCTCAGGCATTTACTTTCGCTCCTTTTTGACAAACGAAAAAAACGGAAGTTTTGTGATTCACATGATTTTATTTATCACTATTATCATTTTATACTTTTTTTCCTCTTTATTTTATTTTCTCTTTCTTTCTTTCTTTTAGCCTTTCTTCTTAATCAGTTTTTACATATATATTATTTAAAATTTTGGAAATAGCATTATAAAATTTAATATAGCATATTGTATTTATCTCAATCTCTCTCTCTCTCTCACACACACACACACACCTACTCGAGATCTGATCTGATCCGACTGGACTTCAATTTTGACCGTCTGATCCAACTCGATCCGACCCGAAACCTGATAAACAAATAATACCGTAGCATCTACCGTATCGGGCTGGATCTTTATCCACCGGCCACGACCCGATCCGAAGCGCGCTCCTCCAACAACCCACGGGCGCCGCCTCGTTGGCTCTACTGAGAGAAGGGCTTGCTCGCGAGAGAGAGATCTTGGCCATCTCTTATAGTCATCTTCGAGGTTGGTTCTTTATCTTCTCTCGCCTTTCTTGCGTTTTCTTGCATCTTCTTGCCGTTTATTGTGTTTGTGGAGATTCTTGGTGGGTTAAACCTCATTTCCTTCGGTCGATCGTACTCATGTTGAACAAAATGCAGTTTGATCTGTTTTTCTTTTTGGTTTTCCCTCCTTTTTGTGCTGGTTTTAATTCGTTTACGTTTCCTTGAGATATGTTTGTGTACAGGAAAAGAAGGCCATCGTGCGAATGACCATATCAGTCCTAGAATTGGCCGATCGGGTCAGATTTCCGATCGGAGTTCGGATGAAAATGAGATCGGACATGGATCATGTTTTAGCGTATCCCACGATGGATTTCAGGGTTTAGGGCTTAGGTTTTCAAGATTTAGAATGTTGGGGTTATACATAGGGTTTAGCGTATCCCACTGATTAACTGTCGTAAAATCCTTAAGTTTGTAGTACTTGTATTCGTTCTTACCTATTTTTATTTAACCTAAAAGCTTTAGTTTATATTTCACTCATTTTCTATGCTGCTGAGTGTGATCAACATATCATGATATCTAAACATTTCCAGGATTTATTTAAAGTCAATGAGCAAGATTAAGGGACTTAAAGCTTTTATTGGTTTGATTACTCATGGACGACATTCTCAGGTGACTTTACATATGTAGCTCTTCACCTTTATAATCTATTTTGCTTGTGTAGGCATTCAATCTTATTTTGAATTTCATTCATACACAAGACTAGGTTTTCTTCATTTCGATCTGATTAGTTCTTTATTGAAAACATGTTACCATAACATGTGCTGCTTGCCAGTTGTATCAATAGTAAGATCACTGTTTTAAAAATACCTTATTTTTTCAATGTAATACTTTTATGTTTCCAACAGAAGAAAGTTTACTGCCAACATCTATATTGCACTAGTGGTGAAATTGGCAGGATCAGGAGATATGAGATTTCTTTTGATTCTAAATCGTAAAAGTTAGATTATTACTACCTTTGCGCTTTTTATCTGTTTAAATGTGCTGTATTTGCTCTTTGATTTTGACATATGATATTATTTTAACATATTATGTAGGCATGAGATATAAAGTTTTTTTCTTGTTGATCTGATTAATCTCCTGATCGGTTCTTGTGCCCTACTAGGTGCTGTTTTGCAGTGCATCATACTAGGATTAGTATGTGGTATTTTCTTCATGTCTATTTGAGTTGCATAAGGTTTATGATCTCCATATGGTACATTATGTTTTTGGTAAAATAGTCGAATGCCTGAAATTGTTACAATATATATGTTGCAGGTCTAGCAACTTTTTTGCTTCCAGAAATTCTGATAGCAAGTTTGATATCCTCATCGTTTACTTTTCAACAGTATATTGATTTTGTTTATCTAAGGTTGAGTAATCAGATACGTATGGATGCAGCAAGTGAATACCGACTCTAGTATCTAATAAAGTTAATGACTTTAAGTACTTGCAAGTTGTAACAGTTTTTGCATCTTTATTGTTCATTGTTTTCTTTTTTAGTTGGTGTGATGATTATTCTGTTCATTTGTCCTACAGAATACGATCTTGTCAAGCGCAAACAGGACTTCATCTTCCTCTTATCAATGTCTGGTTAGATCCGTTACAACTTCAGAGCACACAAATGGGAAGATATCAGCAACAGTTGCTTCTGATGAGAAAAATGGGACAGGGGATTCAGATCAGACTGCTTCTCAAAAGCCTGTTCGAGGAGGGGTGACTAGTACTATGCATATCTTTTTTTAAATGAAACAGGACAGATTTGATGACAATAGGATTGAACTATCTCTTTCTGTTTTATTTAAAATAGTAGTAATTAATCACTTATATATCAAACGGGGCCCACTTTTCTTAGCAGGATTTTTATTGCCTTTGTTCTTTCTTTTGTAAAAGGATTTGCTGTGCCCAGTAAAAAAGAATCAGGGTCATCAAAATTAAATGCTTATGATAGCAACAAGCTAAGTGATAGCTTGTTTATTGTCATTTATACTTGTTAACAATTAATTCTAACTTTTAAGGATTAAAAATTTGGCGGAAACATTTATGCAAATTCAAACTATATAAAGAAGAAAAGGCAAATGGTCCAGATTTATGCAATATGGGTGTACATTCAAATATATCTAGCTGAAGGATATGTGTAACAAAACCATACTTTTAAATTTTTATTCTTCGTGGGGATTAGAGTTATGCTCTATGTGACAGTTATCATAGAAATTAGATTCCTATCAGTAGAGATCTGTATTTCTAGTTTGTAGATGATCATGGAAACATAAGTTTTGAAATGTCAATATATCATGATTTATATCCAAGTTTGTCCAAAATGGCTGATAATTGACTATGACTCAAGTTATTGGGGCATACCACTTAAAGCAAAATGTACGACAACAGTTTGTGGCTTATCCTCGTGATGTGAGCACCTGTCCATTCATAAAACGCTTCAACTAAGGTGTCAATACAGGTCTGTGATGCACAAGGTGTTGATTCTCTATTTTATTTTATATGCCTTTTGATATGTTATATGTATTGACTGGAGAATATTCAAGGTATGAATTGCTCAGGAAAAACCTAGTGGTAATTGATAGTTTGATACGAAAAAGATCTACAAGCTTCATCTCGTCATGCAAGAAAGAAAAAAAGAATGTTACGTGTCCAGGTCTCTTCAGCAGTGTTTGATAGAAGCAATGAACCCAATGAACAACTGCTGTTCACCTAGTTTTAGTTCTGAGGTGTGATTTGATTGTTAGTTGGTAGAAGAGTTCTCACTTGAGCTGTTGGTCATAGAATTGGTCACTCAGTAGCTGGAATGAGTGTGGAGGAAATGGATAAGAACTTGTCTGAAATGCATTAATATTTGCATCATAAACTTTTAAGTCTGGATTCTGGAATCAACCTTATGACAAAATTAGCTAGTCGCCTTCAGATGTCGAGAATGTCCTTTAGAGAAAGGGTACTTCAAAGAAAGACCATGTTCTGCTTTGCTTATGCATTATTTTCTTGTGGTATGCCTAACATGTCAGCTTATGGAAGGTAGCCATACCTTTGTCCTTGTGCTTTACCATCCTCTCTTACACTTTGTTCTTCTATTAGAATGACAATAACCAAGTGCCATTAATATATATTTTTACCTATATTCTGCATGTAGGATACTTTTGTTTCTTTACCAGCAAATCTCATATTAACAGTATCTTTGGTTCATTTTTGGTCTCCTATATGTAAAATATAGTCTGGTTACATTCCAACTTCCAATATGTTCTTGAATATCTTCAGGTTACTTTATCTATAGTAATTCTCTGGGATTTATATTGCAGCCTGTCTCATGGTTGAGCCTTGTTTTGCTTATTGTCACTGGAGGAGGATTGATAGTTTACTATGACAAAGAGAAGAAACGACACATTGAAGGTAGTTTCCTGCTGAGTATGAGCATACCATTTACTTTTTCATTGTTAACTGGTTGGCCACTCAGGCAAGAGCCAACAAAAAATCTGGTCTGTGGAGGAATTCATCTCCTCTGGACTCCTCTAGACTTAGAGTTTTTGGTTAGCGCTGACGCAAATGGAGTTATTTCTTTTAGGTACCATCAGCAAAGCTTTTTAATTTTCCTTTTGCAAAAATATTTTTTTTAAAATTTTCATTTTGCAAAAAATATACTTTTCATTGTTTTGCTAACAAAAAAACACATTCTTGTTTGAGTCTTCCTAGAGATAGGGAATGCATATACTTGAAAATTTTCCAAGTAATTTCTACAGCTGATTCTCTTATTTCAATATGCAAATCAATTTTCTGCTATTCTTTTACATTTCTTTCTAGATCTTTACTGTCATTAAGACTAATTCCATGGTTTACCATGGTAGCACAATTAATCTAAGGTATATTGTCCCACAGATGGCTTTTCCAACAGATGGTCAAAAGGACGATATCAGGGCCTGAATACTGTTATTTAATTAATGGAAAACAAAATTGGAATAGGCATTTCATTATCACTCAAGAATTAAATCACATATTTACGTCCCACTGCAGAAGGGAGTATATACTTGATTGGCTAATTCCTTAACATACCATCTTTCTTTATTCTTAGGTTAGCACATTTTGTTGTTTTTTCACTTGCAGGACTGAAGACTTCATCAAGTACTGTGAAACAGGGACCATCTGTGGGAACTGCTGCTATTGGTGGTCCATTCAAGCTTGTGAACCATTATGGCAAAACGGTTACTGAAAAGGATTTTCTGGGGAAGTGGACACTGATATACTTTGGATTCACATATTGCCCTGATATTTGTCCTGATGAACTCCAGAAATTGGCTGCTGCTGTTGATAAAATAAGTAATATACTGTTAATTTAATGCATAAGCAACTATTGGGTTAATTGCATATGCTTATATACAACATTGGTTGTCCATAGTTCTAAAAATGTCATTGGATTCAAAGATTTATGCTTCATATTAATTCTATGAGATAATCACATCCAATGTTTTAAATATCAGTAAAAATATTGGTACCATAATCTTCTTGGGCCAGTAAGTACCGGTTGTATAGTATGCCTTTGTACACGTGAAAAATACTGGAACATGTTTAATATGTCAGTATAGACCAGTTTGGTGAGTGCACAAGTATTGGTAAGTATTGACACCTGCATGTTGCAGTTGGTAGGCCATGATATTTGAAATCATGGTTGCATCTTGTTATAGAATAGCTGAAGCAATTCCTATGATGTTCAATTGTGATTGTGATAATAGTTTGTGGTAAGATTTGAAACTTCCTTGCTTTATATGTGGTCACTACTCACTAGTCTGTTATCAAGATTTTATAGTAATTGTGAGATTGCTAATAATACAATCTTATGAGAATCACATTAATATGCAAATTTCCATAGTAGTGTGTCCTTTTCATCCATTGGCATTTTTGTGCACCACAATGATGTGCATTTTTGGTTATACAACATGGATGTTGCACTTGGATCTATTGGTGAACTAATCCCTTTTCGTGTGATTATTGTTTTTATTTTTAATAATTTGACTATATGAACACTGATTTCTAGTATATTATTCAGAAGCAAAGTCAGGGATGGAAGTTGTACCAGTTTTCATTTCAGTTGATCCTGAGAGAGACAATGTTGAACAAGTCCATGAATATGTGAAAGGTGCTTTATCTTGATTCTTTAGTTTGTGTGACTGGAAGCAAAATGTTATTTTGTTCTGTTTCTTCATTTCCTTCTTCTGTTGCCATTCACATAACATAATGCGTTTCCACATTATCATGGATCAACAGCTCTGTCTGTATTCTATTATTCATGGATTATATGATATTGTAACCCACATGTCTTTACTTTGGATTGCAGAATTTCACCCAGACTTGATAGGCTTAACTGGTACAGCAGATGAGATAAGACAAGTTGCTCGTGCTTTTCGGGTCTATTACATGAAGACAGAGGAGGAGGGTTCTGACTACCTCGTCGACCACTCTATTGTTATGTACGTATCGCTGATAGAACCTGTGGGTTCATTTCATTTTTGAAGTACAGATGCCATGCTGCATTTGACATGCTGCAATTGCTAACTTTATGTTTACTAAATTTCTGACTCTGTTATATTAATCATTTATAAACAATAATTGCAAGTTACAATGGCTTTCATCATTATGTTATATTGTTGGCTGATTTTGAACATGGTTATTGGAACCTGACTAGATATCTATCTGGTTGAGCCTCACTGGCCAGATTGATGAGTCAAAAAATTTTAAAAATAGAAATGTATTATATATTATGTTAAAAACATAAAAATAAAGAAATATCACAAAAATAGAAAAAAAAAAAACATAGGAAAAAATGAAAAAAAATCTTAGGCATTATGTGTTATGTTTAATAAACTTAAGATAGTAACTTTAGTTATGTATTATATAATACTCCAAAATTTAAATAATATTTCTAACATTATCTATTTATATTCTTAAAAGATAGAATCCATTCTTAAATATTCTTAAGTATTTCTAACATAACCTATTTATAATAATATTTACTCTTTTTTTTTCAGAAGCAAAGATGATGATGGAATCCGACCAGCTTGTTTTAACTTGGCTGGTTGTCATGGGTCATGAAAAACTCATCCAGTTCAATTGGTTCAGTACAATATTCTGACATCGGCAATCTAATTAATAAAATGAATTGGTCATAGGTCCGGTTCCCAGTTTTCCGACTGCACCGGCAGGTTGGGTCTTGATGTGATAGCTATATATCTAACTGCAAGCATTTTGGAAATAGCTTCTGTCATGATGTTTTCTGCCTCAACGTCTGTGGTAGTAAACAATCTTCTAAAACAAGTTGCGTGATAAATAGGATTGATGCATTTTCCTTGTGCCCTTGCATCTTGATTTAGCATGATTCATGAATTTTTAGATCACCATGGTATAATTAGGTCCATTTTATACGTATTAAAATTAACAGGTTGTGATGGTCCTATCTATGTTTTAATGTTTTATGGTATTTTTATCCATTCAGTATTGGCTTGACTCATAGAGATAATTAATATAATTGCTTTGGTGTGACCTTATATCTTTTTATGGCATTCTGAAGTTATCTTCCCATATAAGATTGTTTTGGAATTTTAGGTATCGAGTTTTTTTGGCTCAATTGTTTTTCTTTTTGTGGACTTAAATCATTTCTTTACCATGGGCTGAAGCTTGTAATAAGCTGTCATAGAGCCGGTAACATGTACTGGCAATTATTTCTTGTATATTGATATTAATTCTGAACATCCTTCAGGTACTTGATGAATCCGAACATGGAGTTTGTCAAATTTTTTGGCAAGAATTATGATGCAAATGCACTCACAGAAGGCGTGATTAAAGAGATCAAAGCCGGCTGACATTTTTTTTTTTGTCCCCCGACATGTTTACCTAAAGTGGATATGTCAATTTTGCCATCTTATATTTTAACAAATCAGATGTAGTAAATATGATGCTAAATTAACTTAATGGAGAATGAAGTGTCGGTCATTGTTGTGCTCATGACATCTGCAAATGCTCCAATAATGAAACTTGTCAACAGTACAGAACAAGTAATTGATACTGTTGTGCTTGTAAATTCGACCTTGCTATCTGGTGCTACCTTATATGCAAACATAACAGATACTTTGCTCCAAACGTGAGAAAGTCGTTCATGTGTTGGTCATCAAAATCCACCGGGCTAATTATAGAAATCCAATCCAACTGGCTAATTATAGATTATTCTTTGTAGTTAGATATCTTAAGTATTTTTCATATACTTAAAAAAATTATATTGATATTCTTATAGTTATAAAACTAAAATATCTTAATCCATGTATTATAATATCATCGATTTTATTAATAAAAATATAAAAATAAAAAATAAAAAAGTAATTTTAATGTTTTAGTTGATGGTGACGGATTGTGTCAATGGTGGCAAATCTAGAGCAGCAATGGAGCGATCTACGATTTTGTCATAGAGCGAAGTTTGCGTCATGGAGTCTCGGAATCATCAAGACCCCTTATAGTTGGCTCCCCCACTTGCTTTCTAGAACGCTCAATAGCACCTCTGCCTTGCTCTTCCCCCTCGTGCTCACCCTACTATCGTTGTCAACTAGAGCCTTCACAGTTGCCTCATTCCCGTCCACCTCTCTAACATCCTTCGTTGCCTTATCTTCGTTACTCTTTACTAGGTTAAGTAGCGCACCTATAGCATTTCCCCTCGCCCTCTTACTCCCCCTAACCACTAGATCTATCAGGATGCTGGCACCATCCACCCTCCTGAATGCCTCCACGTTCTTGTCACATCCTACCACTAGGGTGATCACTATTGTCGCGTCCTCCACCAACCCCTCCACCCATCCTTCACCACTAGTGTGAAGAGGGGTAGCATGGTGCCCAGCTCGACGAGGACGATGTGATTGAACGGGTAGAAGACCAGGCCGAAGAGGACATTGAGCGCATCCTTGATGGACCTAGTCGGTGCATTGGGGGCACCTAAGAGGTCCACGAGGGCAACAATAAAGGTCTTTTTTGAACCGATGATGGAGCGGAGGCGAAGGGCAACAACAAGGGCATTGAGGTGTCGATGCCAACGATGTTACCATCTATCATTACTAACTAAAATATTAAAATTACTTATTTGCTATTTGTTTTCGTTAGTAAATCTAACGATAAATGAATCTAAATGTTTTATTTTCATAATTATAGGGATGTAAATATAATTTTTTAAAATATAAACAGGTAGCTAACTATTACACTGCACCTCAACTACTTGGATACACACAAATTTGAAATCCCCGATCACTTATAAAGGATTATGTTTGTGAACGATGAAATCAGAGCGTCTATTATTCCCTTTCCAATGGTAAATTTTCCGGCTCAAAATCTCCCGTAGGAGCCGACGCCAGTGAACGACGGCTTGCATTTTGCGCCCTATTAAAGGCATCCGTGATGATCTAACAAATACTTTACCAATCAGTAGAAAGTACTTTATACACGGATAAGTTTCAGCAATATCTCCCGTTTAATGGTATATATGATGTTAACAGACCATACACCTTATACACCCATCTGTAGAGCTTGGATCTGATCCAAGAATCATCTTTAATGCCAAAAAGGAAGAAAAATGAAAGACTGCTTTATCTTTCTTTTCAGCCAAAAAACAAGACGGAAACAAATATGACACGAATGGGGCAAAAGAATCAGGAGATATCCTGTAAGATCCAAAATGTGTCAAATAGTTCCAGAAGTGTTCCGGTAACCAGATCTCTCGGGTGGTGGCTTTACGTATCTTCCTAGTGTTTTTTGCCGTGTCCGTTTCTTTATTCTTTGAATTCTATCTTTCGTTTCTTGTTTCTTTCTTTCTTTTTGCCTCTGCTGCTTGTTCATCTCTCTCTCATATGTCCCCTGCCAGAAGACTTCGCCTGTGGAAGGCCACAGCCACCTTCGGTCTGGGTGATCCGCATCGGCTTCTTCTGCAAGATCCTCATCCATGCTCTTCAGCGTTGAATATGAAAACCACTGGATCCACATCTTACCTCTCCTGCTCTTCGGCCTGTGATATTCCACCATCGATCCAGATTCGGGGTCGACATATACCATGTGCCGTGCACTATGGTACGCCCATACATTCACGAGCAGCTCCAGCACACGAGCATAGCAATGCCGGTCCTGTAAACATGAAACGTTTGTATGAGATTAATACCAAAAAATGCATGCAGAAGTCAAGAAAGATTCAGGTTTCAAATGCACTTAAAAGATTCTTAATCTAAACATAAATGATAAGCCATCACACCATCATCCTAGTCTTTGGAGATGCACTTAAAGAATAAACAAGAGTAGCTCAATAATAATATTAAAGAGGAAGATAAAAAGCGAGATCAACTTTTCAAACTTGTGGCCTTTGTCATTGTGTTGTTAGTTCGGGACCAGGTGTAGTAATTGTACTTCAAATAGATCAATAAACAATCAACCGACAGCTGCAGTCCCTTAAAAAGTGGTGACAAAGGAAGGAAACAGAAATGCCAAGTGTGTGTGTGTGTATATATATATAACGCAACGAAAAAATCACAAGAAAAAATGTGAAAAACACCCGTCAATGTGAGATCTAGAGAGAGACAATATATTCAACCATATCCTACAAACTGAAAGGATGTTTATGTGACTCGACCCATAACACCCAAATGACATGGAGGGAACTTTATGTGATGCTAAAGCCCATAATCAATCAATTATGATGAAACTTTTAAGTTAAAAAAGAGATTGTTAAATTAAATGCAACCTAAGATTCTCTCACATTGTTGTAGCATGGGACACGATATATGCGAACTGCTTCATAGATTGTTATGTGGCTGTCTGTATATTGATCACGTACAAGTGTCTGACAGAGATGTAATTGTTATTTTTTTCTTTCTTCTTCGCACATTATAGTCTCCTCTGCAATGACCATTAAAAAAATGTCCTGGCTCATTTTTTACTGTCCTATTATAATTCGTTTCCAAATGAAAATGAGCCTAATAAAAGGTTAATAAATAGTGGAACAACATGCCTCCATGGCACAAATTTCCAATATGGGGAAAGTTAGAAAAGTAGCATGTGCACTATCAAAGACTTTCTCCAATGAGCAACTGGATTAAGCAGGAAATGCCCCCCTGACACTAAGAACAATTGATAGTACTACCATGAACAAGTATTACCTTAGATGTACTCAGGTAACAGCTAGCACTTTGATGATGCTCATCGTATATCTTTGTATCCATTGCATCTATGAACATTCTGAAAAAGAGGACAACCAGATTTTTAAATGTGTGAATATAACTAGCAAAAGCAAATACGTATATTCATAGACGTATTCTGTGTTGCAAATCATGGATATGCTGGTTTATAAAACAAGCTTTTTTTCTCCCGTAACACCATGTAATTAAGTGGATTCTAATGAAAAAGTAGTTGGTTGGAATAACAAATCTCCTTGACAAATTGAAAATCAATATCAACTTCCATTCTTTAAAAAATGTGCTAGAATAGTTTTTTTTTTTTGTCATATCTTTGATTGGAAGTAGTCACACATAAAACACACATTTCATAATCACTGGATACCACACTCACTGCAGCTGTCTAAATAATCAGAAACAGTTCCAACTTATCAGATGTCAGCTCATTTGATGGTCACATATGAGCATGCATGCATATATATTTCAATCTGGTAACAGAGTTCAGAAATCAGAACGATTATTATAGTTGCACAAAAAAATTGGCCACTTCACCATAGGCGCCATAGACACCTCAGACACTCGAGCATATACAAGCACACTACCAACACGTATGGAAGGAAACACGAGCCAATTATTATGGAATGGGCAACATCTGGACATGTTTTCAATCTTTTAACCTAAGCACCGAGGAGAAACCATGGTTTTCTCGATCAGTGAACTTCAAAAATAACTGTAACAGGAAGAGCATGCATAGAGAAGCACACTGTCTTTATTTTTTATCCATGCAGTTGCAAACTTAATAAAGTTCATAAATGTATGCAAGTTTCAGTTCAATCTGTAAAACTCTTGTTCTGAACTATCAAAACTTAAAATCTTACCTTGAGAACATGACAAACTCCAGGAAAGACCTTGTCGGCAAAGCCCAGCTATGCATCACAGACCATGAATCACCATCATCAGGCATCTGTGGCAAAGAACTCCAATCATCACCTACACCATACATCCTTCGAAAAGCCTCGGAGACGGCGGTTCTTCAAAGAAAAAATTAGAGGAAAGAGATGAGTTGTTTTTACACATGTATTTCTCATCCATATAAAAAATGTCTGGATTTGTTATTCTTGTTCACCACTCTTTTAAAGAATTGTATAAAACATTATTGAGCTTTTACAACAAAAATAGCATGTAATAGCAGTATCCAACCTGCAGTTACCAGCATTTATGGTATCGCAAAACCTCCAAAAATTCAGGTTCTGAGGATTTCTTGGATCTTTATCCATTCGGACCCAAAAGTAAAGGGCATCACCATGGGTTTGGTGTTCAATGGCCTCCAGGAGTTGAGTCTCAGCTTTTCTAGACAAGCTGACCTGTAGTCAAGCGTCACAAGTACCAGATTCAACATGGACTGTATGCTGAATTGCCGATCACAATTATATCATTTAACAACCATAAACTGCAAATAATGGATTCAAAGAAAAATGTTGGTCATTGACTCATTAATTCAGTTGCTCTGTGCTTCATAAACTAACACAGTACATAAATCAAATATATGGTCAGCCATGAACTCAGATAAGACTATAGATGCTTCAGCTATGCAATGTTGCACATTATGTAATTAGTACTTGCAAGCATGAATTAATTTCAAATATAGGGTCAGCCATAAACTGAGATAAGACTGATCTAGATATATAGACAAACTCTTTAAGGAACTAAAATTAGAAAGGAACCAACCTATGTCCTTTAGATCAGCGAATTCTTAAGGAAATTTATGAGAAGGGAATTTTCGTATATCTTGAAACTTTATCATGTATACAATGAGCCTAACTAAGAACAAATCAAATTGCTACTAGCCAAATATGGAATAGTGCAACATGGATCTATAATTATATCAGATCCAGTTGCAGTAACAAAAGTAGTATCCCCCTTGAGGCCCTAGAAAATTATTCTGATTTCAATGATTTGATCTTTATAGTCACGGTGCTAATGTATAAGACTTGCAGGCAGTCTTTGACTGGAAACCAGTATATCCTTGCAGTGAAGGTTTCATGGGCCTATGCAGAGAAGTCAAAGGTTAAAAAATGAATAGCCCAAAGAACAAAAACTGCATTGCTTACTACATTGAACAAAGAATAACTATATGATTATCTTATGGTGCATTGTGTTTTAGAGGCCTATTCCTTGTAGAAAATGTTGATAAAGATTCTAACACAACACAGATCTTTGTAATAGCTAATTTGATCCAAAAGTGAAATAGTTAAGGCTTAATAACTCCTCGTACTGCATTGTGACAAGACAAGATACAGCAGAAGGGTAACGAAAAAAATCATTAAAAAATCAACCATTGATGTACAAAGGCTTTTCTACATCAAATTCGAAAAGAGTGTTAAAAGCAAGTGTAAACAACATATAATATGCACGAACCTTTCTAGCTGAAGCTCTCCAAGATTGAAACGCAATCCAGGCATTCTTGTGTATACTGTCAATTTGGTAAGCCAAAGTGAAAAAAGCTCCATATTCACCAAGCACATCTCGGTAATATCCATCACGGAGGATTGGAAGATGAGAAGAAGCATCTATATCATCAGCTTCAGGTCTCCGACCTACAGAGGACTGTTTAAGGAACAGACAGAAAAAGACTTATTAGAATGTAGCATTTTGTTTGGTTGCCAGTCCATATAGTTAAGAGAAATACAAGTGCTTTTTTTATCTCATAAGCTATTATTATGCTGGTTGAAATTTTATGGAGACCACCCACTACCATTTACTATTCATATTTCTAACTTGTTCATCTTCATGTGTACGGCAAGCAATTTATTTCTGAGTTAATGTTGTAGAATATCCGTGCATCCTAACCAGGGTTAAGACAAATATCTGATTCTTGCACACATTGATAGTCTCATCAATTCTCAAGAATCCCACATTCTAACAAATGACACATTCTAATAAATGATATATATTACTTGTGTCATAAATATGGTATAGCATGATGACCGTACTTTTCTCATTCAAGTACGACTTCAATTTTGCTTCTGAAATTCCAGCATTACTCTTTAGTAGTGAGGTTTTCTCAATAAAAAATGATATATTAATAACTTACAAGGCTGATTCCACGATAAAGTGAAGTCTGATGTAGAAAAGGCCATGTTCCCTCACCAAAATAAGGTTCATATATACATAGAGGCTGACCTGTCCGCTCAAGCTCCCTCTCATCTCTCTCATGCAATTCATTACTTGCTCTTTCAGCTCTCTTGACGTTCTTGTAAACTTCCTCCCATAATCCATGAGGCTGATCACTTCTGTCCAACTGCATCAAGTTTCAACAGAATAAAACCTTGAGGGAGAAGTGATTCAAAAATTAATGTAAATTGTCCAAGTAAAAGAGTTAAAACAAAATGAAGACATTCGCTACCTCCTCTTCTGTTATTTTTCCAGCACCCATCATCTCAATTTTTTTCTCTTCCTCCCATTCTATGGAGATCAATGCTTCATCAACCTTTGATTTAGTGTTAGCAGAGCTTTGCATTTGACTATGATTCCACTGCTCCTCAAGAGTATCTAAATATTTATGGCTTCTAAAACTGCTATTTAGATGGTCTTCTCCTCTTACATTGGCAAACAGTTCCCACTGCCATTGCATCTTGAATTCTGGAGGGATCTGTTCAACAGCCTTAGGAGGCATAATTTCTGATGGAAACCTGAGAACTTTTTCTAGCAATGATACATAGCCTTGAATAGCTTCAGAAGCCATGAGGTTTCTGGCATACCCTTTCGCAACAGATGCAACTCTCTGAGCAAGTAGAGATAACTTTCCATTTGAAGTTGCTTGAAGTAGAATCTGAGTAAGCATACTAATGTTCTCCTTTGGAAAAAGATATCCATTGACTTTATTATCAACCTGGGCAAAAGCAGTATGGCCAGCACAGAATTAGTCACTGAAAGATGTCATAGCCAGATAAAAGAAACAAAAAAAAATTCTGAATATTAGTAGTAATTACATATTTCCTAATCATGTTCAGATCAGGAGCAACAATTAACTTCCCCAGACTCATAGATTGCTTTAGAATATTTGGAAAGGATTGCTCCTCAAGAAATGATCCATATATTACTAGGTCTGCTACACCGAGATATCTGTTAGTGTCACCATTAATGACAATATGTTCCACAATGCTACCTGGGTAGCCAACCTTTTCAGCAATCACCTGAAATAGTGAAAACAACACTGAATTTCATCAAGAAAATTACAGATAGGAAAAGATTTTGAAACATGAAAATTTTCGTTTTTAAGCAATAATGTCCATCAAGAAGAAACCAAAACAAGCAAGAATTATTATACAAAAGAAAAAAAGAAAAGGAAATACAAACCATTACCTCAAGAGCCTTCTTGTATGCACTAGTGAAGTTCCAACCCAAAATGTGAACTTTCAGTAGTGAATAAAAAGAGTTTGAGGAAGGAAACTTTTGGAGCAGTGGTCTCAATGCTTCCAAGACGAGGGCATGCTCTAGCAACATGCCACTATATGAAAATTGACTGCCAACAACAACAATGAGAAAGTTGTCTGATGTAGAACTCATACTCTCTCTCAATATACGGTCTTTTTGCATGGCGACAAAATTATCTGCCTCCCATGCTTCAGCAGGAGAACCAGGAATAACCATAAAGTTACCCGTATCAAATGTTGAATACATCATCTGGAAGCTTAGAAAAGGCCAAAAACATTGAGCATAAATAAACCAAAGAATCCCTTCACTGACAAAGATTTAGGGAGTCAAAATACTACGAAGCAAGTTGAGCATCAGAGAAATGAATTACCGGCATGGAATGGGTCGGAAAAACAATAACAGTAGCTCTGCTGAAAACTTGCTTCCATTCATTTACAAGCTGAAATTGTCCATTCTTAGAATATTCATCTAGACGAAGTGCAGGGGAACTTTCATGGATTGTCCATATGACAGGTACAGATCTGAAAGGCTCCTGCAAAAGACTGCATACTAGTGCAAAGGTCAAGCTAAAAGAATTTTTTAAATTAAAAAATAAATAATGTAAATATCTAAATATACCATCAGACACATGAAGTAATACCACATAAATGTAGCTTTTGTTTTGTTATTTTCACAAGAGTGTCATATTAACCATCCGATTCACTATAGTTCCTCTTACAGAGACTGACAACATTTAATATATGCTTGCAATAAAAAATAAAACACACAACAACAACACCATAACGTCCCAACTATTTGCCACTTTGGACCACAAGTAAAACTAAGAGCAGGAGAGGGAGAAAGAGAAAGAGAGGTGAACAACATAAACAGAGTATGCCTATGCCTTCAACCCCCCTAAATTCATAAAATTCCCTATTCTTCTTTTACGAGACCCAAATCACCAAAGCATGCTTTGGAAACATAAACTTCGTAAGTACACAATATTTTGCGTCATGTATGCTGTATTATGTCAAAGACCAAGAAAAGAATAGTAAGCTTTAAATATGGTGGACTAACAGGCATTTAAATTTTGATTAGACCAAGTGATCAATTCTGTCCATATATTGCGACAAGAAGGTGCAAGTTCACAGGCTTGATTGTTTTTAGCCCTTGTAAAGTCTATAAAACAAGCAATCAGTTAGCTCTTCTACTTGCAGATATAACAAAAAAGGTAATAAACTGATTGTGGATGACAGAATTCCATTATAGTCAGAAATCATACAAAACATTTGTTAAGGGAAAATATACTTTACCATGAGAAAACAGGTCTCGCCTGAATAGAATTCACAAGAATGCCATTGTAGCTGCATAGAAATGTTACAAAAGATCTGGTTAATTGAATCAACTGAAAGCTATGCTTGAACTCGCCAAGTTAAAAGATATTTCAATAACTTCTGCATCAACTTAAATCACTTACTCTAACCAATCTACAGTGGTTTCTGGATTTGTTACAATAGGCAGGACCTTAACGAAAATTCCCATCGACCTCCACACAATGCGAGCAGGCCCATCATGAAATGAAAAAACCTACACCACATGTATAACAACATAAAAGTGACATGAAACCCTCAGATACAAATCTTGTTAGAAACACACAAAAACATTACCCAAATAGGGCATTTCACAAACCCAGCAGATTATTTTCAGGGTCAGATGAGGATTTCATTACAGTATTCATGAAGTGGTACATGGCCAGGATGAAATAGGCATAAAGACTGGAAAAAAGATTCACTGTCTACAGTGCTCTTTAGCCTGGTCCCTCTTGGATCACACTGACATGTACTTTAGAGGGGCCAAAAGGTTCTGTTTCCACTGGCCAAATTTAATACGTGGTGATGGAATAATTCAGTTTTCACTTGCAAAAATAGACTTCCACGTTCCACATTGACATACTAGAGTTTATACAGCCTCAGTGGAAGACGGAGGGATGTGTCATGAAATGAACAGCATCATCGCAAAATATGGCTAAGATTTAGATCGGACTACGCCAGCTTGAAAATGAAAATCACATTTTATATTTTACCCACGTATATTTAAAAACCCTTTTGTAAAATTATTATGAGGAGGTTAAAAATACATCAATAGCGTCGAAAGAAATTGCGGTTCTTTTCAACCAGAAGGCCAACAGAACAAAACAATATCTTCTTCACGGCTAACCTGAATGTCAAACCCACTTTCTTTCAGAGCAGCAGCAATGCTAACCATCTTGAGCTGCATGGCATCCGGATATAGATCCGGAACAACCTACAAACAGGACTCATCACTCACAAATCACGCGCAAATTCACGAAGCTAGTAAAAAATTGTAAGGAAAGAAAAAGAACCAAGAACTCGACAAGAACCGAGACCCACCACCGCAAGCTGCGGATTCCGCAGCGGAAACCGCTTCAGCGGTTCCCCAAAGGCCATAGCCGACGCGTTTGCTTCTTGATTCTCCCGCTCCAACCTCTGGACCAGCTCGGTCGGCACGAACTTGATCCCATCCCCATAGTCTAGATCACCAACCCCTTCAAGAACCGAGCCCCACTGCTGGGGCGGGCCCTCGACCGCGGAACCCGGGAGGAAGGCCTGGAACAGTACGACCACGAGGAAGAAAACGGCGACCGCTAAGGCCCAGTGTAGGTAATGGACCTTGATGAGGAAGCGGGGTACCCTGGATCTCAACCGCGGCCGTCTGCCGGCGGCGGACGAAGAGTGGAGGAGAGGGGCGGTCCGCTTCAGGGGAACGCCCGTCTCCAAGAAACCCATCTCATCAATGGCGAGGGCATGCAATAGAGAGAGGAGAGGAGGCTTATCGCTACTCGATCTAAAGGGACGAGAAAGTGGAGAAGGGGGCTCGTGGATGGGATCAGGAAGTAGCCGTCAGCAAGCGATCAAGAGGAGGAGGTCTTGGTTTGAGAAACGGAAAAGCAGTCGGCTGAGGTGGGAGGGCACCTCGCTTTCGAGAACGAAATGGCAATCTTTGACAGCTAGCTTTGATCACACGGGAATGCGAGTTTAGACAAGCAAGCTTGGAATTAGGAAAGGAAACGACACTGGCTATATGGTACCCACTGAACCACCTGCATTTATATTGGTTAATATTGTGGCTCATCGGTGAACCTGGTAGGTAGTGCAATCAGCAGCGCGGTGGAAGCCTGAGTTGCATTGTTGCGGTACGAAACGTGACGAATTAAGGGCAATGACACTGGCGGTGTGCTGTCTAATATATATATATATATATATATATCTCAATCGACATCCCTATTTTATTTTTTCTCAAACACCCTTCATTTGAAAAAACCCCAAATACTCCGATAAAATTTTCTATCAAATTTTCTTACTTATTTTTTACTAATTTTAAAAATATGTCAACCAACAAAACTTGTTTAAAATCTAAATAGTTAATTACTATCTCAACCCAATTCTAATATTTTAGTCAGTGATAATCTAGTCTAAAAAAATTATATAACAACAAAGTGAACTACAAAGTTGAACAAATAACAAACATTGATGAGAGAACATAACTGCAAGCAAACTTGATATCATAATGCAAAACAAGAATATAAGAGTTTATAGATATCATCTCATTAGATACAGAATCATAAATATCATTTCAATCAAAATATATTTGATTCATAATAAATAAATTAAAAAAAAATAATTAAAACATATGATGACATAATAAGTATTTCGAAACATATCAATGACATATAAAATGTTTCGAAATGTATCAACGACACATGAAATATTTTGAAATATATCAATGATATATGAAATATCTCGAAGTATACTAATGACATATAAAATATTTTAAAATATATTATATATCGATGAAATATGAAATATTTTGATATATATTAAAAAATAAAAATATAAATAGAAGATCAAATATCATATTTCATTTCATTCTTATCCAAAAACATATATAAAACATATAATCGAAACTTTGGATTGTCAGTCCCGATACAAACAATAAAAAATAAGACAAAAGAGTTGGAAGAAGAAATGATCCAACAAATGAAACTTTTTCTTATTGATTAGAACATGTATTTTCCTTTACATCTTCAATTATTTGGTCATCAACTTATATTTAGATCGAAATTAGTTCTCTCGGTGCAGGAGATTAGTTGCATGCATGTCTCCATAACGTCGCATAAAATAAAATAAATTAATAATAAAAAAATAGTTCCGTTAGTCTAAAGCACATCGGACATATGTAGACTTCATCCATGAAACGGATTTATTTCCCTTATTTTTATATATTTCTTTAATTATCTACGAGAAGAATAGTGGAAAGTATATTGTCATGACAGACATGAATTGAAATGGATTGCAACGTTTATTTATTTATACGCACACCTAACATCCTCAGTTTGCTTTGGATTTCTTCCTTCTTTTCTTCTTTGTTTTTAATGTCTCCTTCCGGATTTATTTCCCATTCTCTCTAATTATATCTTATATATTGATAATCTTTTTCCCCTATATTTATCTCTCTATAAAGATCTCTCATTATTTATTATTTATTTTTTATTATTATTTTTCCAATTAACACTCCATTTTTTTCTTTTTTTATTGCTCCTTATTTTTCCAAGAGATAAAATTACCCTTGCGTTCACCCTGTCAATTGTCGCCTTTGCCCCGCCTCTTGCCACCTCCGTCGGAGGAACTCGTTGCCCATCCATGACCTCCACTGTCCAAAGTCATGACGTCACCCTCAGTCATTTCAGACACATCAAAATAGCTATACATCAAATCAACATGATACTAAATTCAAATTTATCATATCTCATGGGCAAAGGTAGTCGGGAACATCCAATCAATATGGGAATAAGTGTAGTCTTATCGAAGCATTCTGGGTCCCACGATAGACACCACCTAATATTATCTAATAAGAGCTATCACTAATCTTAATTAGTGTGATCTGAACCTCTTTAATCCACTAGGAATTGATAAGTCTCACATAATTCTCCTTTTTACTATACCATCATATATATATATATATATATAGCCACGATCGATGTCATGCCGCTGGATTCAAGTATGGCATGTTCACAATGACCATGACACAAAATGTAGAATGCACGTGATACACGTGAGAATTCATTAAATCTGAAATGACGAGCACGTAGCGCAACTGTTGATACGTTGAATTGACTCGCACATTTCTGAGCTCCTTAATGGACAAGCTTATATTACGTACAAGACGTTGTTATCAGGTACAATGTATCATCACGTACAAAACAATGTCTGTCGTAAAGAAGGCAATACGTCCATTTAATAATCACGCGTGCGAGGCGAGCTTTGTTGCTCTGGTGATCAAAGCGAGACGCGCATCGCACGTGTGAGTGCGTCAACGTATTGATGGCCGCCACGGTACGATCGGCTCACTGAGTGGGTGGGGTTCGTTTGGGCGCGGGGAGGATGACGGAGGCGCGGCGATTAATCCGTCTCCGGTCGTCTCACGCGGATTCCGTATCAGGTGTAAGAAGTCAAAACGAACCGTCAGTGAGCGTCGCGGTATCGTCCCTGTGGTTGAATAGTGGATCTGAAGCTGGGTCCCGGGTGGGCTCCACCTCTGGAGGCAATCGTAAGGTGGGTAGGTGAAGTGGGTACGAAGAGGCTGGGAAGCGATAGAAGGCACCGTTTCGCGGTCCGGAAACGGCGTTTGGTCAGTACCGGTTTTCTTACTGTGGCCGGTCAACCCTGCTTCCGCGTTCCTTCGTCGTCTGACGCATCCGTGCTGCGTCCTCCGCCACCGGCTTCGTCCGCTCGCTGACTCCTTTTTCGCTTTAAAAACCCCACTCGCTTGATCCTCTTCTTCTCTCCTTAAAGCAAAACAAATCAGATCAGAGCTGGCTCTCTCTCAAGCCACCGATCTAAACCCCACCAACGAGAGGAGAGGAGGGGAAAGCAAGAACCCTCAATGGGCAACCGCACGTCACGCCGCCACAAGGAGCCTCCGTCCCCCTTGCCAGATCGCCCTACCCCTCCACGCCCCCGCCCCAAACTCCCTGCCGCCGTCGCCGCCCCCAGATCACCCGGACCCATCGTTCCCCGCCCGATCCCATCCGACGTCGGGCGCGTTCTCGGCCGGCCCATGGAGGACGTCCGCGCCACCTACACCTTCGGCCGGGAGCTCGGCCGCGGCCAGTTTGGGGTGACCTACCTCGTCACCCACCGGGGGACCACGAAGCAGTTCGCCTGCAAGTCCATCGCCACCCGGAAGCTAGTCCGTCAGGATGACCTCGACGACGTCCGCCGCGAGATTCAGATCATGCACCACCTCACCGGCCACCGCAACATCGTCGAGCTCAAGGGGGCCTACGAGGACCGGCACTCGGTCAACCTCGTGATGGAAATCTGCGAGGGCGGGGAGCTGTTCGATAGGATCATCTCCAAGGGCCACTACTCGGAGCGAGCGGCCGCCGCACTCTGCCGAGAGATCGTTAACGTCGTCCACGCCTGCCACTCCATGGGCGTGATGCATCGGGATCTCAAGCCGGAGAACTTCTTGTTCTTGAACAAGAGAGAGAGTTCGCCGCTCAAGGCCACCGATTTTGGGCTCTCCGTGTTCTTCAAGCCCGGTAAATAGACGACGCTTTCTCCTCCCATTGATCTGCTAATTAGTCTACTAATAGTTATTCTTCGAACCCAAGAAACCAAAAATACAACCAGTCAACAAGTAATATCGCATCGAAGTACGAGTCTTTGAACATAGTAGATTGCTTATCGTAGGAACAATTTGTTCCTCGTCGACCTTGGAACTCTTACATCACTTGATTTTTGATTGACGAGGATGTATCGGTCTGATACTAAGTTAGAGAGCGATGGAGTATTGAGATGGATGGAGGACTGTGCCAAATCATCTTCCACACATCCTTTGTTACTTGTGATATGTGCTGGGCATGGGAACAGCCGTCGCAGTTCCCTGCTCGCGTTGCCTTCGGTCCAACCAAACATAACAGTGGGTGGATCCAACTATAATTGGAGAGAGCACCGGACAGTGGATGTCATGCCATGCTGTGATGTCTTTGTCCTATGCATGATTTGATTTCTAGATTCAGTGGATTAAATTTGCTCAGTATTAAGGTAGAAGAACGCTTTCAAGAATGGATGGAAAGAAAAGGTGCTGCTTGTTTCCAAGATCTGAGTAATAAAGGCTAAAAGTTGGCTGGATAAGATTTATCCACTTTGGCTTCTGAGTGGATTATTATGCAAGTGCATCCATAATAACTGCTCATTCTGATACGGATCGAGTTCTACATGAATATAACGTACCCTCTCTTTCTCATCCTCTCATTTAACTTTTCTTGTATAATTGACCATCTAAGAAATGTTATTAATTTGTTTTAGCTAGTGCCTTAACTTGTTGTTGATCAAATATTTTCATTCCATGATTACCTATGTGATGCATAATCTACAATTGAAAGTTTTTTCTTTAATCCCAAACCCAATTAGGTCAATTTGTTTAAATTGGCCAATTTGGAGCATTGGATGTTTTAGAAATTGTTGGATTCAAGCAATATTAACTAAAATTAGTTGAACTTAGTATTTCGTAAACAGATAGGCTAATGAGATCTGGAAGTTGGTATTTATTGACCAGAAATGAAGGGTATTCAATTGTGACCGATCAATTTCTGACCATTGTTTCAATGAATTAGTCAGAAATAACAAGGACTAAATATATCTTGGTAGCATGGAGGACGGAAATGAAGAAAAAAAGGAGAAAGAGAAACGGAAGGAGACAGAAGATGAGCTAACACCTTGTCACCTCCCTCCTAAAATAAAATCCCCAAAATTTCTCCCCTTGAGGTACTTTTGTTATCGGACCTTGCAGCTTTTCTTTCAAAGATTTTACCACTTGAATTTGACTTTCTGGGTTTTAACCTCTTTATCCCAAACAAGCTTCCCCCTTTGATTTTGCAAGCATCAACAAAATCCAACTGAAGCTAAGCCACATTTCTCAAGTCCAATGTTTAAACATGTCTTAACATTGTAATGAATTCATGTGTTTCTAAATCTTTTTAATTTCCTTTTTTTCTAATTTTCAGATTCTATATTAAACTTATTGTTATCGGGACTACTGACTGATGGAGTTCATTGGTCCCTGAGACATGCATAAATATTCAAATCCTGTTTATATATGTTGGTCTTTGGTGTGTTCTTAAAAAAATAAAGTTCATGGGGAAACATGTGAAATTAATCTCTATGTGAAAGAAACCTTGTCGAATGCCTTTTTTGTTCTTAAATGATCTTGCATAACAGTGTCCGAAATAACCAATTGGGATGTGCAGGAGAAATATTTAAAGATCTTGTTGGAAGTGCATATTATGTTGCTCCTGAGGTATTGCGACGCCGTTATGGAGCAGAAGCTGATATTTGGAGTGCTGGAGTTATACTGTACATCCTTCTTTCTGGTGTCCCTCCTTTTTGGGCAGGTTTGTGGAGTTGTCAGGATAAATGAATCGTCCAAACATGAGTAAAGTCAGTTGAAGAATTTACTTTTTCATTTATGCAGAAAACGAGGAGGGTATATTCGATGCTGTATTGCATGGCCAAATTGATTTCTCATCTGATCCATGGCCTTCTATATCTTTTGGTGCTAAAGAATTGGTTAGAAAGATGCTTAGAGCAGATCCAAAGGAGCGACTTACTGCTGCTGAAATTCTCAGTAAGCTTTAACTTTCATCTCATTAATAAATTGAATTTCAATACCTAAGATTACATGTCTCCTGCACCAAGTTTGTGCATTCCACTAAACGGCCATGACCAATAAAGTCGGTGCATTACTATTTACTAGTTCTCAAGTATCAGGTAGTGATTAAATGACATTGGTGCATTAGTTCTGTTGAGTTCTGCTGCATGTAAGGTCATGTTATATTAAAATTTGAACTCATTCTTGGATAAATTGGCTGCTACTGTTTCATCTGAGTTCGGTTTTAACTTCCATTTCTTGTTCTAGAAAATTTCACAAAACTTTATTCATTAGCTCCAAACAAGGAGAGATGGAGATGATGGCGGCACCATATTAATCATATTGATAAAACTCTACAATGTTCTCCATCAATATGCCAAATGATGTTTAGTGTGACCTCCATCATTTATGATTTCTGATCACTCCGATAACTTCACAAATTTTTGACTAAATATTTTGTTGAATGATGCACCACAGTAAAAACAATATTTTCTGCCTTTGCTTGTGGTTGCACGTTTATCTGGATGTCTCTCTTGCATCCGTTTACATGTCTCAATGCTAGTTTTCAAAGACGGGCTCATTTTTAACAATGTTTAATCCAGATAAATATCTGCTTCATAGTCTCCTTGGAAAGGTTCTGAATACCATACCGTATCAGTGTACCGATCAACTATCGGTATGGTATGTACCGAGATGTACCGAGCATATCGACATACGGTACACTAAGGTGTGCCGATATACCGCTCATACCGGTCCTCTATCGGATCGATATGTACCACCTGTACCGAGCGGTATAGTACGATATTGCAAACCATGCTTGGAAGTTTACTCGCTGACATGTTATCAGCATTAATTCACTTGGTTTGACAGTTGAGAGTGTATGCAGACCATCCATGGATGAGAGAAGATGGTGCACCTGATAAGCCACTTGATCTTACAGTTTTGAATAGAATGAAGCAGTTCAGGGCCATGAACAAGCTTAAGAAAGTGGCACTGAAGGTAAGGTTTCCTTACATTTTCTTCTGAATCTACATGGATAATTATCTTAAATGCTCACCATCACATATTGTTGTTTAGGTCATAGCAGAAAGCTTGTCAGAGGACGAAATCATGGGTTTGAAAGAGATGTTCAAATCTATCGACACTGACAATAGTGGGACTATAACTTATGAAGAATTAAAAGCAGGACTACCGAAATTGGGCAATTTGGGCATCAAGATTTCTGAATCTGAAGTCAGACAGCTGATGGAGGCAGTATGTCCCTTTCTTGCCTTTTCTTTGCAAAATCACTTAAAAACTTTGGTTGTGGTTTTCTTTCTTGGTTGACTATCTTCTTGGACAATGGGCATAAGCATTTAATGAAATTCTGTTGTATAAATTTGTGAATTTAAGCATGAAGACAAGCTTTGATGTAGTAAATTCATTGATGAGAGTTTCATTGAAGCTAGTATAGAGACCAAAAACTAGTTAGCCAGTGCTTGAAAGTTGAAAAGACATTTCACATATTATGATTTCCTGACTGGTGAATTAAGGCTTTCATTTGTGCCATCTGATTCGTCATCCTTTTACAAGATAGGCAGCTTCTATTGCCAGAATTACTGAAAACATGTTTCTGGTTATCTGCTTTATGTTCCATGATGACAACATTATGGAACCACAACGATAACCAAAGTATTTCAGGGTTCACCATTTTGTTGCTTTATGCATTGGGTTCTGACTTTAAAGAACTTATCTGAAATGTGGGTTGATTCTGCACAATCTGTTGTGGATCTGATATAGTTGGACATGTAATTCACATTATCTTGCTTTATGCATTTAGGTATGTCTTGGTTATCGGTCACAGGTCAATAACAGATATGCAACAGAAATAAAGGCTTCCCCAAAGAAGCAACTAACCTTCTTGTTATCAACTGTCGATACATTTTTCTTAGGACCTGCTGTTGCTCCAAGATTAAATGCAGTGTAGCTCCTAAGATAACCTATTTTTTCCTGACAGGCTGATGTAGATGGAAATGGAAGCATTGATTATATTGAATTTATAACAGCTACGATGCACATGAATAGAATGGAAAAGGAAGACCATTTGTACAGAGCATTTGAGTATTTTGATGAAGACAAGAGCGGGTGACCTCATCCTTACATGAATCAAATGTTGTTCAGTTTTCAATGCAAATGAGCAGTTAAATTTATTTGTCATCTTCTCTTGCATAGGTACATCACAGTCGAGGAATTGGAGCAAGCTCTCAAGAAGTATAACATGGGTGATGAGAAAACAATAAAAGAGATAATCACAGAAGTTGACACAGACAGGGTAAGATAATTCACATGCTCCTTCTTAGTAAGTAAAAGTTTCGATTCAAGTTTAGCCCTTTCACATTCTGAGCTCTTTTCTAGGTGTAGGAACGCCTTTTAGAACACACAAGTTTGACTGTCCCAGGCTGCATGCATTGCATTATCATCTTCAGTAAGCTGGAGGCTACTATTGTGTGGAATGATGAAAACTGATTTATTAATTAGTTCTTTCCTTCTAGATGCCAATTGATATCATGTTTAGTTATAGTTTCGCTTCTTCCATGTCTTGAGACCAGGAAAAACTATTAAAAGACGGCATGAGGTTGCCTGAACTAGATGTTAGAAATGATAAAAGACAAAAATACCGTACTCTAGTTTTTGCTATTATGGATCTGGAAGGATCACAAGTCGTAGACGTCATATGCTTTACAGTCTTTTAATCAGTTACTCATCATGCATGGTGCAGGATGGAAGAATTAACTACGAGGAGTTTGCGACTATGATGAGAAAAGACAGTTCAGAACCCATACGTACCAGGAGACGTAAATAAGGCTTTTCTTTTGCCAGTATGATAATTAAGTTAGATCGTGCTCATCTTATCACTGTTCTTGAAAGAAGAAAGAGAGAGAGAGAGAGAGAGAGAGAGAGCAGTGAGGAGTTGCGTCATCTGCTGAAAGGAATTCATTTTCTAGTAGAGAGGAGTTTGGTTTCCGGTGTAATATAGTTGCGGTGCAGCTTCTAAGATTCAGCCATATGCAAAAGATCAAGTGAAACTTATACTATGGCAGGGGACAGTATTTTCGGTGTGGTATGTGCAACGAATGGTAGCGTAGTCAAGTCCTTCTCAAGTCCTTCCGCCTCTTCTTTTGGCCTTTGGAATTGCTTGAATTAGTTCTTCATGGATAATGATTGGGACTTTTGGTTGCCAACTGAATGCTATTAGCTTTTATTAAGTATTACAAAAATACTGTTAGCGTCAATCGCCACCGGATGTAATGTTTGTGGGATCAACAGAAAATGATAAACTTGTGAGGGGAAAGAATATCAGTCTTTTTTTTAAACATATTTGCTGTAAAATAGAACTCATTATCAACAAATTCCAATGATGTTTTTTGTTCCACTTGTAGCTGATTTTACTATGTTGCTGCTATGTATAGGAACAGAAGCAGGAAAACAAAATTCACAATATCGATTGCTGGGATAGCGGATAGAGAGTTCAAGGATGATGCCCTTTTATTATGAAGCTATAAAGATTATTGAAACATTTGTGAATTCGATCTCTTTAGAAGTGGTTTAACATTGAATCCCATGGTTTATAGGGCTTTTCTTGGAACTCATAGGTCCTTTGTTCTTTGCAAGTTTGTTGAGGAACACCAAAGGCTATTATTTATTCCCCAAGTTGCAGATGATTCGGCTAGGGATTTAAATTTAAGATCTATCGCTCATGTAAGAATACAACGAATACAACGAGGCATCGATGTCTCACTGGAGACATTACAAGAGAATTTGAACTCACAATCCTTGAAAGGGACCTGAATGAATGCCTTGATCATCTCAAAGCTAGTGGACATTGGCAGTTCGAAATTTCGAATGCCATCCAAGCATACACGAAGATTTGGTCATTATCACCAAATAATATATGGCCAGTTGTCTATAGCGGGAAAAACAGAAATAAAATTGTATGAATAAAACCCTAAGCTCATCAAAAAATTGTAAGACCTGACATCAACTTCAACACTGATGATATATTACGGGTTCTAGTTGCAGGTGTACTTTCAGCAAAAGAAAGATTATACACAACACTGGCTGCTTCACCAAGACGGAGATAGAGATTCAGCATAAAATAACCATGCGGTATGAACGTCCACGAGATGAGACCTTTGATCAGGAGACTGAGACCTTTCTTGTTTTGAAGGTTTTGTTTTTGTTGAAAAATGTCGACAACATGCTCTTACTGCGACCAGGAGGCCTACAGATCTCACGTCTACCAGGACTGTCGAAGGATTTGATTGCTGAAATAGGTTTTGGAGACTTCAAAGAACCCTGACAAGATACAAATTGATCGTGTAAACATAGGCACAGAAATAGTTCAGATGGTCAGTATGCAAAAAAGGAAAGCAAATCGTAACAACAAGTTCTGTTAGTCTCAATAATTCGGTAAAATCACATAGAAGGATCAAGTTACCGGTGAAGTTGGATTATATACCTTTTCATGAGGATGGAATGCACATGAATCCCTGTTTATTGAATGGTCATATCTTATATAAAACTTAAAACATGTTCTATCGTTCGTGAAATTACATACATGTTCATGGCTTCCTGCTGTCGCAAGAACTTTTGAATGATTTATTAAGAGATAACAAGATGTGCAATGAATATTCGTTCCACTACTTGGGCAAAAGAACTAACATATTTTAGGACATTTATGAAACACATGGAAGAGCAGTTAACTTGGTGTCATAATGCATGTGGACAGACGTTTGGACTGAATGACTAATGGAGCCTATCTTATCATTCACAGTGCATACAACTTCAGGTGGGATGCAGTAGCAGTAGAGTCTTAGATTTCCCGAGTATTTAGTGGTTTAATGTCGCATCAATTATTATACCTATTCAAACTTTAAGAATACAGTATATGTTAACGATTTCTTCAAAGCCACAGATTAGGTCCATGACACTGAGTGATATGAAATTTACCATCGAAGCAGATTTGTTTGGAATCATGTCGAAAATCACATTTCCACTAGTTGCACGGAGAGGAGCTGACAAGGGCAGTGATGCAGCAGGGTCTTCTGCAACTAAAATTTGTGTGGCCTCATCATTAGAAAATAGCTTTGAGTCATATCGGTGCATCTTATCTAGAAAGAATCAATGAACGAAGATACCTAAAAGATGGAAGACTTCAGAATTTACTTTGTAACACTTAACACCTCTTGTGCTGCACAAATATCAAAACAATGTTTAGGATAAGTTAACATCAGCAGGGGTTTACAGGGGAAGAAGATTCAGAAGCTTGCCATGGTGCTGCAAGGGGATCCCCAGTTGCTGCAGAATTGGCTTCTGAAGCTACGTGCCAGGAAAGCATATTTGATGCATATTGGCCTAAATGGAGATAAAATATCTCATTAGGCAGCAACATTTGATACACATGAAAATATAATCCAAAAAAAAGAAAGAATGTAACAAATGCATAACTACAGACTTGAAGCATGAGAGTGAGATTTTGCTTCGGAAGGTTTTACATTGCCATCTGCGGGCATCCGTCAACTATTCAGCAAGTTTGACTAACAGAGTCTGGCTTGGGTAATTAAAAGGAAGGTGGTGTACGTGATCACATCATTCCAAAAAAAGAAAGTACACATTATCATCCTAAAGCATACTTGGCAAAATGTAATGCTTGTGATGTCTCAAGGTTCTTGCTGGCGTTTGATGCTGACTAAGACCATCTTTATCGCCATAAGCTTGGCAAGTAAAATTTTGCTGAAATGAAAACAGCAAGAATCAACTCTGTAAGACTTGTTAGGGGTGCTATCATTTTACCAGAGAATATATACCCGATTCAAACATGAAATCATTTCACCAGAGAATATATACCTGATTCAAACATGAAATCTTCATCTCCATCGTTGATGCATCAAGAAGTTGTTGTTCAAACAGGTCCGTCAGTTTATAGGCAACAGTGCCAAGATGATCTACAGCATTCACAATGGCTCGGACAGCATAACTTTTTAGATTATCTAATACCCTACAAAAATTGCTCTAACTTCAAAGATGAATCATAAAAATATTCGCAATTAGAGCTAGAAAAATTGACCATAGCAAATGAAAATCTGTAAGTTCCACACCAGATTCATGATATCCACCATTAACGAGCTATGAAAATGTCAGCAACAATGGCTCACAACTTTAACATCTTTTTCCTAATAAAGCCCCCTTTGGGAAAATGCAATATGAAACTGTGCGTGAAAGCCCAGTTAACACTTTTCCCTAATTAAAGTCTCATCTCAACATTTTCCACAGGAAAACACATCCTCAAGCACTTATTACCATATTCGATATTTCACTACGGTAGCTAGAAGATAAGTCTATTTAGGACATAAAATTCAACCAAAGCTGGCATAGCAGTCTGTAAGAAAATAATAGATGAGGTATAGTAATAAAGTGTGCAGAAGATTTCGCCCAGAGAAGAAAACCTTACATCTGTTTCTGCTCACTGCGAAGGTAAGACTTTTCACAGTACTCAGCAGCAGAGTAAAGTTGAGGTCTCAGGTTCTTGAGTTCCTGCATTTAGCCAGTAGCAGATTATTTCCTCATCAATAGATGTTGGGATGATCCAAAAACACATTTCCAGAAAAATAATAATAATAATCCAAAAATCGATGCAAGAACGAAACTTTGCTCTCGTTATCTGAACTCAAAGCACAACAAACTTCAGCAGATTATGCCAGACCTTTAACCCCGTCAATTATATCACTAGAAGAACATAACAAGTTCGAAGCAACATCGAATTAGATGGTCATCACCAAGTAAAGGCGAATTTGTCCCGATACCAAACACAAAAATACCTCATGTTCTCAGATGGCACAAAACCTGAAAACCCGCACAGCAAGAAATCGTAGGGACTCGCGGAAACAGAAACCCTAGCAACCGCACCTGATTAAACGAAGGAGCAACGAAAAGGATCAAGCAGAAACGAAGCGGATCAGAACCGGAGGCGGAGGCAAAGGACGCGGATGGAGAGAAGAGGAGGGGAAGGACCTGCATAGCCATGACGAAGCTCTTGCTCCTCTCCATGGAGACCTCGTCGAAGGTCATGGCACCGTTCTCAGGCCGCCGTTGCTGCATCCTCCACCACCTCCTCCTGCTGCCGCACCGGCGATGGAGCGATCGAAAAGGAAGTGGGAGTAATAAGGTCACTACAATATCTTCGCTTTGTGCGGGATGCGGTCTTTGCTTACGGACGGGGGAGTGGCCGTTTATGAGAGCAGCGGAGAGGTGGGGCTCGATGCCGGCGAAGCGATACCGGGAAACGGGTTGTTGGATCTTTTCCTGGGAAGGCGAGAATACGTACCCACCGTTCCTCGTCGTCGAGATCTGCATTAGCGCGGATCGTAAAGCAGAGAGTTCGGAAC